ATTGCTCGCGTGAGTGGTGCTTCGCTAACCAAGTTGGAATGTGCGCGCGGTACATCCAAAAGTTGAGACTTCCGCCTCAGGTTTCTACTTGATGACCGTATGTCAAAAATATCACTCACAATATTGAAGTCACAGTACACGATTACTATCTAGTAATGTATTCATACTATGATTGTATTGTATCACCATATTCTACTAATGACATATGAAATATTAATCATTTAGGGCTTTTTCAGTTGAATGAAACTAAATGTATTGGTTAAATTGTTCTACTTGTTAAACGTGTTACAAACATTTTTAAATTACCGATTCTACTATTCGCTAGATTTTTTAAATGTTTAGTGTAATTAGGTACTTCCTACCATTTTTAAACATTAATTGTATAACACATACTACTGACAACATCCTGTAACGTCTAACTTATGTAGATGCGTGGCTAAAGTACTTCAAATGTCCGGATTTGACTTAGATTTGACAATTGACAAACCGCCTGCTCAAACAAACCCTATCATAATTTACCATGAACAATAAACTTACTAGTACCGTCTTTATTACGAGATTATCGTAAAAGTTAAATATCCGAATTTAACGCAGCCATTTATTACAAATATAATTTGCCTACAACGCGGTCAACAAAGGCGGTAAATCTCTTACCGTTTTAGTACCGACAAACCGAAATCATTAGGATTTATACGATTCAATCGTGATACCGGTTCGTAAAAAAGCTATAAAAAGCGATGGAAAGGCTATTTATGGGATTACTTCTATGACGTTGAATGCGTGAGAAAAATACGAATTGTTTATTTTTTGTGATGGATTTCCTCTTGAGATCGTGAAAATTATGGCTAATGTGCTGTAGTGTGCAAACATTACCCCATGTTTGTCTTTATTTTTAGAAAATACTCTTTTTCTTTTTTAAAAAAACTTTCTGAAAACAAGAAACTTTGCTATCACGGCATTCATTGATATATTTATTAGGTCCTTACATATGAAATTGGCGTTTTTCGTACTGGCCACTTCAATCACGATGTTCTCCTCTTTGGTAAGGAATTCCAAATTCAAATGTGTACAGCTATTTACTCATGTATTTGTGCTTCGATGACCGTCATTCATTTGTTTTTTTCTTCTGTTTTTTCTGTTTGCGTCACTCATTTTACAAAATGGAAAGTATCGCATTATTTACGAGAACGAGTTCCGCCGTGGCACTAGTGCTGCGGAAACGACTCGAAGGGTGAATGGTGTGTATGGCGGTCATGTTGCAAAAGAAAACACAGTTCGTTTTTGGTTCCAACGTTTTCGTTCTGGAAATTTCGACCTGCAGAACAAGCCCCGTGGACGGCCTGAGACCCAAGTTGATAATGAAGTATTGAAGGCTATTGTGGAAGCGGATCCATCGCAAACCACGTCCGAGTTAGCTACAGGCTGCGGTGTTAGTGATAAAACTGTTTTAATTCACTTGAAGCAAATTGGGAAGATTAAAAAGCTTGAAAGATGGGTACCTCACGAAATGACTGAAGCAAATCGGCAAATGCGCGTCGACTGCTGCGTTACATTACTGAACCGGCACAATAATGAAGGTATTTTAAACCGAATCATTACCTGTGATGAAAAATGGATTCTTTACGATAATCGGAAGCGCTCAGCGCAATGGTTGGATCCTGGCCAGCCAGCCAAATCCTGCCCCAAGCGAAAATTAACCCCAAAAAAGTTACTTGTAAGCGTTTGGTGGACTAGTGCCGGTATTGTTCATTGCAGTTTTCTCAAATCTGGCCAGGATATTACGGCTGATGTCTATTGTCAGCAATTGCAAACCATGATGGAAAAGCTAGCGGCTAAATAACCTAGGCTGGTCAATCGCTCCACGCCACTGCTACATCACGACAACGCTAGACCACACACTGCACAACAGTAGGCTACCAAATTAGAAAAACTTCAATTGGAATGTCTAAGACATCCTCCGTACTCCCCGGACCTTGCTCCAACAGATTACCATTTTTTTCAAAATTTGGACAACTTCTTGCAAGGGAAAAAATTTAACTCTGATGGGGCAGTCCAAATCGCCTTCACAGATTTTATTGATTCCCATCCGACTGGTTTTTTTAGTAAAGGGATCAATGAACTACCTATGAGATGGCAAAAGTGCATAGAAAACAATGGTTCATACTTTGATTAATTAAATATATTATATTTAAAAATATTCGACTTTTTGTTCCTCCCATACAAAACGCCAATTTCATATGTAAGGACCTAATATTTATTATTAGTAATAATCCTTTCGAACTAATATATTAGTAAATTAAATAACAAAGTCGTAAAATCTTCACATAAAAATTACGCGGAAAGTAGTTATTATATTTTGTCGTTTTGCTCCATTGTACAATAAATCAATGTTTTTAGTTAAATTGGTTAATTTTAAGTCTTAATTTCAGCCTTTGATTCATAATAAATGGTATAGCTTTTAAAAGATTATCCAGTTTTTTTATCCAGTAGGTTAATATATATTTTTTATGACAGAAATACATACAATACATTATCACAGTCTGTCACAGTTTTCGTTGCCATACTCCTCTGAAACGGCTTGACCGATTCTCATGAAATATTGTGTGCTTATTGTGTATGTCTGAGAATTGGACAACATCTATTTTTCATCCCCCTAAATGTTAAGGGTAGTCCATCCCTAAATTTTTTTTTAATTTTTAGATAAATTACTTATTTTTAATTTTTTTATGATACAGCATAAAAAAATACACACAACCCCTAACTTTCACCCCTCTACGATCAACCCCTATTTTTTATTATAAATGATATACATGGCAAAATGACGTTTGCCGGGTCAGCTAGTAAAGTGTATAAAATTAAACACACAATTTTGCTACTGTGAATGCACTGTGCAAAATAGTGTATGAGTCTTGACCTTAAGGTACCGTCTACCCACATTTGTCTAGCAATTTGATGGAAAGCCAGTGAGTATTAAAATTTAATAATATTCACTGAACCGTATAATACAGACTATAAGAATTACGACGTCTTAAACACATGTAAGAGTATTACTTTATAATAAGCTGGCTTTGACCATAAGAAACCCCATCTAACAAGGCGAGTAGGGAGAGATGGCCCCGCGAGTCCATATAATTCAATTATACCAATGTAATTGGATTGTGATGTCACAATCTAATATGCATTAATAACCAAACTTTACATTTATTCAAAAACACGATATCGTATTAATGCCAAAAAAAAATATTTTATCTAAAAATCGAAGCCTTTCAAAGTTTATTTTTGATAAAAAAAAGCGGGTAGTCATTAAAAACTAATTTTAAAAGCTGGTGTTGACGTTGATGGATTTCATCTACCTTCGATCACTCAAGCGTGTCCAAGTTATTAAAGGCTTGTTTAAATAACAAAAATTGTTAAGTTTCCAAGAAAAAGTAATACTTATTTGATTAATTACTCAAAATTATGATTGATACCGATTTGACAAGTCAAAGACTTTCCCAAAATCTTCGCAACTAGATATAACTGAAACGACGCTAGACAGTACACTTCACTTCTGACGCTTCTGACTGGGTCAAGTCAGATTGAATTCATCAATAAAAACATTACTATCCCATTACTCCACTTTGTTAGACTATATGTACAATATTTCAAACATACATAATGAAAATTTGATGATCTAAGTTGGCGCCTCGTAGACGCCAGATTGGTGCTTTCGCTCAACGAATAAACAATAGAGCGAGGAAATATATTTTAATCTTTGATCTATTGTATTTACTATTAACATTCATTTAAGATTATTTAAATTGAATAATTTAATTACATATAACATTTAATTCATAATCATAGGTTAGATACAATGAATAATGTTCTTACTATAATTATATATTATCGCTGTTTAAACCAAAATGAAGAATACCTATATACACGACCGGAAGTAGGGGAGGGTAACCGGGGCTACAGCCCCAGGGCCTCCACTAAAAGGGAAAATAGGGACTGAAAAAAAATACGTTATAAATACCGACTAGTAAACAATTTTTCTTTTGATATAAACGTATATATATTAAAACAAAAATGGTTTCACAATAAATTATTGATTGATAAACTCGACTGATTTTTTCATTTTATTTGGAATATAATTTGGGCCTCCACTCCTTGGTTGCCCTGAGGCCTGGACCACTAAATCCCTGCCTATTATAATAATTCGTCTGCAAAAACAGCTTCAATGAAGCCTTAGAGTAAAAATAGAGCTTACATCAGCCTTCAAGATGACTCCAAGGGCAATAATGCCTGACGCATAAACAATAAAACACGTTGAATATCAATTAGTATGATTGAAGCTATACCTGATATCATGTAGCATTTAATTTAAAATTATGTCTGCATTCTTAGAACTAATGATGTATATTATTCATGCAATTGATCTCATGGCACCCATAACAGAATTTTCCTATTGTTTATTCTTAAAGCAGTGTCAGTTTTAACCCTGAGGACTGTGTTTGATAGAATAAAATACGAATGGATTTTCGAATGCGCTGTTAGCACTTCTATGGTACAGTAAAATAACATGAGAACCTCCATGGTATATGAACCCAAAAATCGACTGCGCCAGGCACAAAAAGGCTACCAGACCAGAAACAGACCCAGAATCATAAATATAATCCACTTGGTGGTTCTGGGATGTACATTTTCTTGTGAAGTTTTGAAATAACATAATCTATGGTTCGACATAAAATTATGTAAGGTTTTGTATTTCCTCATCTATACTTTTTATAAGCTTTGGAATTCGTTACAAAAAACTGCATACAAGAACTTATCAATTGAAAATTCTCTCTGACTCAATATTTTTTATTCTCGCTATCATTTAATATTTAAAATGAAAAGCCACATATGCCCTCTATTTAAGATGGAACCAGAATTTCCCTCAGCACTAATAGCGCCCACGTTATATAGAACATAGTATAGTTGAGTCATTTTGTCTCATTTTTCCGCTCCTATAAAGCAAAATGAGATACGTGCGTGGGCATACACTAGTGCGATTTGCATATTCCCTCAAGGTTGTATGAATTTTCAAAAATAAAACGCCAAGATAAAAATTATTTTGCTTCGTGAACACTTTATCAATAAACTAATTAACACGAAATTTTAAATTACTTGTAAAAACTGGTCATTTTAATCTTATAGATATTTCTTTCTGTGAAACATCGTGAGTTAACCGGGCGGTACTTAAATCAACAAAATAGACAGCGTGTGTCAGTCTGATCACCTACTTGCCTAAAAAGCAATCGTACTAATAAAGAAAAATAGATGCTAAATTTTTTCTACCAAGAAGATTAAAGACTTTACATTTTTTATTACGTTACATTTTTTTAAAATTTTGGTCTATCAAATCTACTACAATAGTTTTAGTGGCCAATTATATTGTAAACATTATATTAGTATTAATGTGAATTTTTATAATTTCAGGTAGTTTTGGTGTTCATTCTAAGCATAGCATCGCTCATCATCTACTTCATTGACGCATCCAGGTAATCAACGTTTCAATTATTTTCTATGATATTCTCTTTAAAAGTAGCCTTATTAATGAATACATATCTTAATAATGCTGATAACATAAGGAATACGTGAGTGACTGTCGAATGTGTTACTCGTAACATTTGCTGTATAGATATGTGCTTTAAATGTGCGTTTGAAATGAGAACAGAAATATTATTATCTAACTGCCAATTATGACAGGTGACAGATTAGTAGTAGGAACTTTTTTAAATTTTAACGATAAAAAACGAAATAATAATAAAATGAAGGTCACAATTTTCTAACCATTTGCGGATATTTCTATTCTTATTTTCGCATTCTTTGTATATGTCAGCTGATATTGTTAGATGCCTTGATCGTTCGATGTGACCAATCATAAAAGAAATACGGTGGTATAACAATTGTCTCTTTCAGTGAGGAGGTGGAGCGATGTCAGAAATGGAGTGACAATATAACACAGCAAATTGACCTTGCCTTTAACATATTTTTTATGGTCTACTTTTTTATACGAGTAAGTATTTTATGTGTATTAAATGAAGGAGAATAACAGCGTAATGTACATTCCGTTACTCACATGCAGGCAAGTTTCTGTATCTATAGTATTAATATAATAACGCCGTGGTGATGGGCAATTTCTGGTAAAACTTGAATGTTTTTTGTTATTAAATTTAGATAAATTAAAAGATAGATTGTTATCGATCGTTTTTAAGTAAAAGCAACTAAGATTCAAAGTCGACACTTGTGCGAACTATGACTGCCATATGTCAAAATCAAAAACGTTTTTGACATACAGGACATACTCAACTCAAATATTTGCCTAAATGTCAGCAACATTATAGTCAGCTAACTTTTTAGCTAAGAACTTAAAATATCCTTGAGATCAATACTACAATATGAAATGAGGGTAGTTAATAATAAAAATTGTTTTCTGTTTCAGTTTATAGCAGCTAGTGACAAACTGTGGTTCATGCTCGAGATGTATTCATTTGTAGATTATTTCACGATACCCCCATCATTTGTATCAATATACCTGGATAGAACATGGATAGGTAAGGATTTATGAATTGGTTTCAGTTAAGCAAAATCAATTAAAATACTTTTTCAAAGTATTAACTATTCATAAAATCGAGCACAGTATACGTATATAACACTACACTCAGACACAATAATTATAATACATAATATTCAAATAGACGCTTATTCTTATTCTATTATCGGCACTGGTCTATAAATGCATGGCTGTCAAACGTTTACATAACAAAATAATCATAGACTATAATGTCTATTCGCGACACCACAGACCATCCCTATCACAGCATACACTATAATATGTAATTACTGTTAGCAAGATGTGATATTGTTAAATAAAATTCTTTTGTAAAGGTTTCTTGTTTCGCACATCAAAGTTTATTTTTGTTTCACAAAATAACCATAGACAATTTCACTTTCAGGGCTAAGGTTTCTCCGAGCTCTACGCTTAATGACCGTGCCTGATATTTTGCAGTACCTCAATATATTAAAGACATCAAGCTCAATTCGGTTGGCGCAATTAGTTTCTATATTTATATCAGTGTGGCTTACTGCAGCCGGTATTATTCATTTGGTGAGTCGTACATGTAATTATTGGCTAGAATTCTATTAAGAAAATGAAGGTAGATCGACACATTATATATTTTTTTAATAATTTCTAACTACCATTTTCATAGACAACAGTAGAATATCTACAGGATAAAATATAAAAGTATACGTACGATAGTATAACCATTTTAGCTTCTAAATGCGATCTACGTTATTATTCATAAAATTAAAAAAATACAGTTATTCTCAGGTTCATGTTAATTTACATATCTTTGATAAAAGAGTCTAAATATCTATGGTATTTTTAATAGTCACAGTTTTTATCATTTAACCCCAAATATTTAAAGACCTTTTGGGGCTTATTTATACTGTTATGGAAAACTTGGGTATTCTTTTATTCAAGTAAATGGCATAGCAAACAAGTGAAGTGTTTGCATAGCGGACAGTAGTCTCTGCAATCATATTTCAATATTATCATAGCAAATATGCAATATGGAATAAGTCGTAATGGAATAAGTAATGCAGGAATGTCGTTATAATTCTGAAATCGTTATATAGTTCAATTTGTACTATTTAAAAACAGCTCGTATTTAATCAAGTTCAGTATAGACCTACAGGTAGTAGGTAGTCGATCCCCGGCTGTGCACCAATGGACTTTCTGTCGATGTCGGCAACCAATATTCGCACGAACGGTGAAGGAAAGCATCGTGAGGAAATCTTGCCTTTTACCCAAAAATTGGTTGGTGTGTGTTAGGCAAAAGGGGCGGGTTACATACTTGCCTTTTAGATTGACAAATTATCATGAAACAGATCTGAGAGGCGCAGATCTAAAAAGGTTGTAGCGCCACTGATTTATTTTACTTAGTCAAGTATCGATATTTTGACTAATAGATGAATCTATCTAGCTTAAAAACTAAGTGCAAGTATTGGTTTAAAAGCACAATATGTAATGAATTCTAAATATTAATTCAATGCAAAATGTACCAAAATGAACCTGAAGATGGCTATTAATTTTCTTACTGTATTTTGTTACAGTTGGAAAATTCTGGTGATCCGCTAGATTTCGAGAATGCGCAATCGTTGTCATATTGGACTTGTGTTTACTTTCTCATAGTCACAATGTCCACAGTAGGTTATGGTGATGTGTTCTGTCGAACAGTACTTGGCAGAACATTTTTGGTTTTTTTTCTCCTCGTCGGCTTGGTAAGTTTCATTCTTTCTGTCTTTTTCATAGATATAAGTATCTAATACAATAAATTCTCTGAATATTAAGATCGACTTTGCAAGGAGCCGCAAGTATTAGATCATAATATTATCTATTTTTGGATAGAATTAAACGTCAATATGTCGTATCGCTTGCTATTCCTTGCGTAAGCTATTCAATAACAAAGCAAAAGGAAAGACATACATATATGACATTTCTATGTTGTTATCATAAGGGACTTGGTAGATACAGTAACATTTAACGCACAGCTCGTATGGTATAAGCCTGAATGCACTTAGAGCATGAAAAATATTTCGATCGAGAGCCGATAACGGGAGCTGCTCAATAAACAAACCAAACCTTCTTATAAACTTCCTAGGATTTCGCGGTTATCTCATGTTTACATTGTTTACGAAGTTCTTCTGCTTTGTTTTCGTTGATATCGTTTACTTTCTTCGGACTTCGAGCATGCACAGAGTGCAGAGGATACTGGAAACAAAACATACAATCTAAACTATGGCAAGTTCTTCGGGGATAGCGTAAACATGATCCTTCTAACTGCTTACGAGACCTCATCTTCTGGAGCTTCACGTGATAACTTTGCATGAGTGTTGTTTTCTTTTGCTTTGTTGGACCACGAATTTGCTTCCGGACATTGAAGCTTAATGGAGTGTCAGTCCCATGGGCTCGGGCAATGGGGCGCTTTGGGCCGCCCGGCCGGCCCCCGCGCGCCGCGTCCCTCCCCCCACCCACCTCGCGGTCTCTGCATGCGCACCTGTGCCTGGCTGTGTTCAGTTGCTCACATCACCGGTAGACAACACAATCCTTTATGTTTTATTTTTGCTCCGCTACCGGCTACACTTATCTGTATCATCTAGTTTTACCGAGACTCGAGGACATTGTCGTGCACCACACGATGGTGTCCGCGCGCAGACTCCTCGATCGACGCCATGGTCTGTTGCAGGCAATGTTCGCTAGTAGTATTCCTGAAATTATAGAGCTGGTAGGAAGTAGGTCCAAGTACAGTGGCGAGCTGAAGCGTGAACATGGAAAAAGGTATCTGTTTAATGTTTAGATTGAGATGAGAGGAAGCGAATCACTCGCCGTGCCGCGGCATGACTCGCTCAATCTCAGAGACGATGTGATATCATCATCAGAAGCTTGCTCAGTGCCGTCAGATGTATTGTGTTATCTACTCGCGCGCACCCGGCGATCCCTCGACGGGCGTAGGACGAGCCTTCGCCCCCCCGGCACTCGGCCTGCGGCCGCGTGCAGCGAGGGCGAGACTCGCCGCACGCCCTAGAGACGGTCGCCCCGTGTGCGTGTTCTACCATGCGTCTATATCGATCGTCCATTAGTTCTAGTAACCGGCGTCAGATTCTTTTTAAGTTATCATCGATCAGTTAGCGAACGTCCAGCTTTGCATGCCCCCGGTCACGAGTCCCTCACGGCTGTAGCCCCGTTAGCGTAGCTCGGCACGGCACCCAAGTCCCGCACCCGTCCACACACGCCACAGCCACACGCAGACAGACGACACTCAACCACACAGCCTTGTGCGAGCGCGAGGGTTGACGGCCGCGGGCCGGGCCGGGGGGCGGGCGCGCGGGGTCTGTCGCTCACCTCACGGTGTTTGCTGTGTATCGTAGGCTGTGTTCGCCAGCTGGATCCCCGAGATCACGGAGCTGGCGGCGCAGCGCAACAAATACGGCGGCCGATACAACAAGGACGTCCGCCGCAGGTACCCTGCTCTCACGCCCCCGCTCCACACGGCTTCCTCTCACGGTTTCGATCTGACTTGGTTGATTGAATGCGGAGTTTGCTAATGAAATTTATTAATAGAAAATCGGTCTCTCGGTGCCGTGGCGCATGCTCGACGAGATAGATCCCGGCGGCCGCGCCCCTGTCTGCCGACAGGTGCGCGGTCGACCGACGCACTTAATGCCTAACGAGATACCATTGCGCTTTGTTCCTCTAACGAGACTAGATGGAGAGAGCCGATGATTTGTGATGCTGTCAATAAAGTAGTGATGTTTGGTTTGTTCGCTTGCACACGATGCCTGCCGCCACGCTGTAGCGCTAGCTCCGGCACCCCGCGAGTCCCGAGTCACACACAGCCAGTGCCCGCGCCCGCCCCGCGGCCGCCCGCCCCGCGCCCCTCGCGCCCACCGCGTCACGGACACCGCCGATACCACACTACATCCTGCGAGACCTTTAGCCCGCTTTGCACTTCTAACATAATATGTTTGCATAACAGTATGTGGCCTTTCTATTTCTGTTCAAAAAAATATATATAACTAACGAACACTAAAATCATTTGCTCAAGTGCCGACATATAAAGCGGACTAAATGTTCAGCGCAGGTCAATAATAAAGCAGGGCTCAACTTCTTTCTAAAGTGATTATTCAGTATCACCAAGAGCGTTCAGCATTGGTGACATCGTATAGTCCCTATAGGAATAAATAATATCTAGTATTATACAATAATATAATATAGTCTTCTTACAAAGCTAGATTGCTTGCATACGCACACAAACCCTTTTGGCATTGTTTATGTATTGTATACGATAGGTTTGTCACTTACAGAATTAACATTCATACAAACTACATTATAACAAAATACACACAGGTATCATCACCGTCGGATCGATACTTCATTATTCAACATTTTATACTTCCATATAACAAGACTAATTTATTATTTTTGGTGTGCGTATGCGTGCGTCTATGCTTTTGGAGCCCTGCCGTCGTAGTGTGCCTGGAGCGGGTCGCGGGCGCTCCCGCCGCGACTCGCGCCTACGACCCGCTCCCGCGCCTTCACCACTCACTCGACTTGAATGTGAATGTCTTGTTTTGTCTGTCGGCGTTTAGGCGATATTTGCCAGTTGTATCCCAGAGATAATTGACTTAATCGGCACTAGACCCAAGTATGGCGGCACCCTCAAGAATGAGCGGGGACGCAGGTGAGCCGCAGTCTTCAATCCGATCCGTTGAATGTGTTCCGTGTTGTGATCTATATCTTCCTTTCCTCTCTTAGCACGCTTCTGTGTTCTCACTTTATCTTAGCGGGGCGCGAGTCCCGCGAGTTGTCTTAAGTCGGTGTTGATTGTAAATTGTACCTTTGAATTAATTTCAGTTGAATAGACTCAGCAGATAGTGGCTAGTTACGCTCGTCCATAGGTTAAATTATTTTCTGTTAGTGTACATGTACGTACGTGTAATGAATGTTAATGGTAACGTAAAGCTTAGTTACGGCGAGTTCAGTGTTGCGTGGTACAGTAGTGTGTTGGAGTTGTCGTGTGTGCGTCGACAGCTCCCCAGCCGTGGGCCGTAGAGAGCGGCAGTGGGCCGTTGCGCGGCCCGCGGGGGCTGTTGATGCGGCCCGTCCGACCTAGTGAGTGCCATCCGCTCGCCTCCTCTCTACTCCCTCCCTGCACGATTAATGTTCTGTATTGTACTCTTGATGTTGACCCTCTACCAGACTGTAATGTATATTGTTCAACCCCCTCCGGTAATTTAGTGTACTTAATTTGATTTCGTAAAAAAATTCATAGAGCGTGGCAAGGCTGTGTGCATTGAGGACGTTATTTGATGCAAATTAGATTAGTTATCGACTTACCATTTGATTCAATCAAGATCATCTTAGAAAATATACACGATCACTCATATAAAATAATAATTATTTTTTAACTTCGTCGTGTCTAATAATTATTATGATAATATTCGTAGAGATTTATTACTTTTTATGATGAATTTACTATCAGTACTTTGCCACACCTTAGAATTTGCATGGTGCTAGTCACGTTTGAGTTTAACCTTTTCTTTTCTTTACTTGTGAACGTTGCTTGAACTTGTAATATTTATTTTCTCCACATGTTTGTATGTCTGTCACAAACCTCCATCATTGTGAATCACACTGTCAAGTGTCTGCATCCACATCCTGCCACATTCACTCGCTGTGCCTTACCTTCTTAAAGAAATATTTCTTTTGTTAATTTTTCGTTTGTGTAAAACATAAAGACTAGAATGCTTCGAGCATATAAACGCGTTCCCCGTTTATTAAACTAAAGTAACCTGTAACATTTCAACGTGCTAGACTGTCTATGAAGACGAGTTTAAGTATATATTAGGACATTCACTTTGAAGTCAAATACAAAAGATACTAATACAATATCTCAAATCATTCGTGAAACTGACAACATAACCATTCATACATTCTCTTGTGTGCTGACTTTTACTGTGGTGTGATTACTTTTATTTCGGTTAAATATATGAAATTTCGTGATTAATTTATTTTTAGTGTGGTAGATAGCTACACAATCCTGAAGGATACTGAGTTTGTTCACCTATTTGTGACAAGTTTATTTGCAATAAATTTATATCTCTTAAAGTATGAGGAACTGCTTCGAAGTCACAAACTGATGAACAAAGCTGTTAATTTAATTATGGAGGTTGTTACACACGGCGCCTTTATTTTTTTAAAAACAATCACTATTTAGAATATTAGCTTTATTATGTAGAAATAAAGGCGTTGACACATGTAGTGGTGTTATTAAATCTCGCTTTATCATAAACCGTTTTATTTAACCCTGTTGCGACGTAAATACCTTATTGTCTAACTTGTTGAGTGTTATGTATTGTCTGTGGTCCCAGGTGTTAAATAAAACTTCAAATTGCTTTGCTCTACTCTCTATTCTATCTTAACTATAAGTGCTACAGCTTAATTGTTATTGCTTTTATAAAATGTAAGTAAATTAAATAAATTCAAAGCTATAAATAAATTTTACGTAGCTTTTGTAAAGTTAAAAGACCTTTTAATAGTAAATTCACAAATTAAACTGCGCTTGCTTTCACTCAGCTTTGTATGTCAATGCAATGTTGTAGTTGGTGTTATTCAGCTTTTGGGTTGGTATTTTAATACAAACAAATGATTTCAGGCATATAGTTGTATGTGGACATATTACGTACGAATCGGTGAGCCATTTTCTAAAAGACTTCCTACATGAGGACAGGGAGGATGTGGATGTTGAGGTGGTTTTTTTACACAGGTAATATATTTCGGATTATATATATGAGAATTAATCTGTTTTTGAAGTTATACTTCTTTTGACGCGTTAGGGAAAAATTATGAGAGTAAATTTTTACGATGCGCAGGCATACTGTCACAAAAAACCGACACCCTGAAGTTAGCTATAGTCAATATTTTAGTTTTTTTTAAGTTATACTTCTTTTGGCGCGTTAGTGAAAAATTATGAGAGTAATTTTTTTTATATTGTTAGTGTCGTTTTTCTACAAACGTAGAATAAGGAGAAAGATAAAAATTTTAAAAAGATTTTCATCTTGTGACGCCAAAACAGTATAACTTCTAACGCGTGTACATAAGTACACACCCGTTTTTTGTTTCATAAGATTACTAGAAGTTAAAATTATCCTAAGTTTCGATTGAAGACACTAATAATTCGAAATCGTATAATTATTATATGACATATGTCAACCACGGTACATAAATTACTGATACGGGGGGTGTAACATGTGTGAAAACCGGACGCTTTCAGAAAAGAGCCTGACCTTGAGCTGGAAGGTCTACTGAAACGTCACTACACCACCGTCGAGTTTTTTCAGGGCACAATGATGAATGCCGTGGACCTTGAGAGAGTCAAGGTTAGAAGTACATAGCGCAGGCATTAGACGAGCACGGCCCTTATCATTGATGCGCGAAAACCAATTTTATTTATGTGCATAAACAGATTTCTTCCCTAAAGATTCTGTTTCATAGTACACAGTAGGATATTGTCACGTTCTGTATTAAGATTCTTTTGATGCAATCATTGCTTTAATGGGACGGTGGTGTTTTGCTTCAAAGGGACTACAGCCAATGAAACATGCATTGCTTTGGTTAAATTCCGAAACATCGGGCTCATTTCATTAGCTGTAGTATGGGAGGCAGGCCCGTCCCATTTCACGACCGCGTATTTTGATTCTCCATATAGTTGCATGGTAATGTCGGGCCGCGACAGGCGGCGGTCTGGCCAATTTTAGTCCGTAGTGATAACTGAGCGTTGATGGCAGGAAACCGCCCGACCTGGAGCTCGAAGGCCTGTTCAAGAGACACTTTACCACTGTGGAATTCTTTCAAGGCACCATTATGAATCCAATCGACCTTCAAAGGGTAAAAGTAAGTAGCACTGCACAATGGACGATGTCTTTGGGCGTGGTGTCGGTTTGAGGCTGTCTTTCCTATAGACGTAGTAATCTCGTTCACGATCTGTCCAGGAGATGTTTCGAGTGGTGTACAGTTCCCTTCTTATGCCGTGACTGGCTGTTTGTGTGGCTATCGCTGTTGTTGACTGTTGAGTGTGGTTGCCCCGCACGATTCCCGAGGAGCTTTCTATCCGAGCCGCGCCAACGCCCCTAAGTGTCTATTTGTACCTAACTGGGTGTTGTATGCGATGCTGACCATGTACTAATACACTAAACAATCGATATTGACTTGAACTGTACAGGTTTTCTAACAGTGCTGATACTTATTGACATTAATGGTTGCCGATGAAAGGGTTTCCGATTTAAATTAGCTTTGCTTGTAGTAAAGTTCAGATGTCGATTGTCGATATTGTCGAGTGTTTACGGTAAGTCTGCATGGCTTGAACGTAGAAGCTTGATCTTCATATGCTATTAAAAGGGCAAAATTGTAATTTCACTTCTTTGCATGGTCTAACGTGTGTGTTTTCTGTGTAAATAGTTTTGCACCTTTTTTCTTATGTAATAAAAATTTAAGCATTTAAATGTTGTCATATCTATATGGTTTCTTCTTTTTATCATTCAAAAATTCTAAATTGAATAAAAATATAGGTGCATGAAGCTGACGCGTGCTTGGTGCTAGCTAACAAATACTGCCAGGATCCTGATGCTGAAGATGCAGCCAACATCATGAGGGTCATCTCCATCAAGAATTACTCCGATGATATTAGGGTCATCATTCAACTGATGCAGTACCACAATAAGGTAATTACTTAAAGCTGGCGTCATTATGATATGTTCTGAAAATAGAATCTTCTTAGTGTCTTATTTGTGTGTCGATGCAATATACTTAGTACGATATAGCTTCTCTTTATTCTATATAAAACACTTTTAACCTCACCTGTATCTTCTACCACAGTGTAAATACAATTAGACTAAAAAAGACGGAAGCATTTTGTTCAAACAGTGCAATTAGACTGATTATTTTTTTATGAATGAGGGAAAATGTCTAGTATTCAAAAGTATTGATTAAGTCAATCTCAGTGAGCTTGTACATTTTTGTTTTTATAAGTCTAAACAATGTAAGAAATTCGGATCCATAATAATTATATTTGAATAATCAAGAAAAATAAATAAACTTATAGATATATATATATAGAGATCGAGAAACTGTGAATCTTCATTGAAGTCTGAATAATCAATTTAGAAGCCTTGTTTACGCTATTTAGCCTTAACCTTTTAAATATCTATTAGGCCTACCTATTAAACATTCCGTCGTGGGACTGGAAGCAAGGAGACGATGTCATTTGCCTGGCGGAGCTGAAACTGGGTTTCATCGCGCAGAGCTGCCTCGCGCCGGGCTTTTCGACTATGATGGCGAATCTATTCGCTATGAGAAGTTTTAAAACAGTAAGTATATTAATAATACTACTAGCTAGGAATTATTTTTTTTAGGACAATAATCTCCTGTAATAAAAAATAGGGGTTAATCGTAGAGGGGTGACAGTTAAGGGGTGTATGTAGTATCATAAAAAAATAAAAACAAAAAGTTTTGTCGAAAAAATAAAAATTTTGGGATGGGACCACTCTTAACATTTAGGGGGATGAAAAATAGATGTTGTCCACTTCTCAGACTTACTGAATATGTATATAAAATTTCATAAGAATCGGTCAAGCCGTTTCAGAGGAGTATGGGAGCGAACATTGTGACACGAGAATATTATATATTAGATTTAGATTATTCATCGTGAACTATTTCCGTACCTCAATTTATTCCTTGGAGATCAATTTCAGGAAAAGCGCCTAAAGATTTGTATTTATTTCAATACCGTCAAGTAGATTAGTATAATTTATCTTATGGCTAATTACTGCTTTCTAGTTAGATATTTTAAGATATATAAAAGGGCGCGTTCTTAATGGAGTTAGTAATGTAGAATGTATGCCAAACTTTCACAGTCAAAGCAAATGGTAAGATGGAAAAATGACTATCTGAGGGGAACTGGTATGGAGATGTACAAGGAGATATTGAGTACAGCATTTGTGGGTTTTCTCTTCAAACAAGCTGCCGAGTAAGTGGTAGACACCAAATAACAGTGCAACGTTGCATATGTGGAATTCCCCCGACGTTAACAGTCTTGGCTTACAAAAAGGAGGCACTTTTACCCTAGAGCATTGACACGAACTAATCTAGTTTATATAACTTTTATTCACGTGACAATAGTTTTGACAAATTTCCTAAAAATACGCTATTAAACGAGTGTTTGTAAAAAGACAAACAAATGTTTTTTTCACTATAAATTAACATAAAATTTACCTGAAATAGTTTTAGAACAGAAGCGGATTCTGACTCAAAGAATAATTTTCTAATTGACGTAATACAAAGCGAGTAAAGGCTTAGTTTTATGGAACGAAACGATTCATGTTCAATTCAACGATGTTTCAAGCCGTGTTGGATATGTTAACAATTCATTTTGACTAGAAAATATATACGTTACACCAATTATCTATCGTTTTTTTATCTATACCAATCAATATATAAATAAAAGCAATTTCTTCTCTAACCCTGGAACTGAATGGCATACAAAATTATTCCCTATGATCAGTGAACTTTGGACTTTGAACATAACGTAAATTTACAAGTTAGACAACGCTATTCCTTAACCACCACGTGAATATTAGTCCCTTTAAGCATACTAACAGCACGTGCTTCAATAGTATCACTTGATTCCAGTCGCCAGACACGCAGGCATGGCAGAACGATTACCTGCAAGGAACTGGATGTGAGATGTACACAGAAAGCCTGTCGACATCCTTCACCGGAATGACATTTGCCCAAGCAAGCGAGTAAGACACTGTATATACACATTTTAGGATGACAGTTTATTTACATCTAAAATATGCCAAAGAATAATAATTATAGTATTATAAGGGCTAGTTGATCTTTTCTTAGGGTAGGAAATTAAACACTGCCATTATGACTTGATTCACTATAATTCACTTCACTGACTTTACATAAACTGTATAACTTCAAACTTGAACAAAGGAATTGCCCGTGCGCATGTGTCACAGCCTCTTTTATAATCCATTCCCTAATCCGACTCAAATATCCCACTTCGGGGAGATGTTCGAGTCAATTCGTAGCAATTCGTAAACAACCGCACGAGTCAAATGAGTAACTATGGCACATGCGCACTTGTAGCAAGATTCTTAAGAATATGTTTCATGAGAAATGTTTAGAATTTAATTAAATAAATATTAAAAGCTAACAATATATAGACCTAACTCACAAATTGTCGTAAACTACTAACAAATTATATCAATATTTGAAAAGACGTCTTACTTTACCATTTTCTTGATGGGGCAGAAGGTGGTTGTCATTGTTGCCGAACTCTGGTTACAATATTGTAAGAAAATTCATTACTAACGTGCTGCCAAAAAAACAAAAACCAATGTATTAAAATCATTACCGTGGTGTTTTTTGCCTTATGATATAAATTCTCCAAGTGTTTGCATATTACCTTTAAATAAAAAAGTAACAAATAAAAATGATAACGTCCTTTATTCATTCATGATTTTAATATAGATTTTACTTTTACTTTCCTCGGCCACTTCCCCCATTCCTGTATAGTGTACCATGTATTGCAATACATATTTATACTTAGGTATCTTTTAATAAACGTGTTTTAGCTGGCGTGGTTTCAGTTGACAAACGCATCGTACCATATGATTGTGACTGTAATAAATAATTAATTTTAATTTCAGTGGTAAAAATCAGTACCAGATATTCTTTATTACGCAGAAATAAATAAATTTCAATATCATTTCATGTTGATGTAAAAGAAAACAAAATCTCACGGAGGAGACTGTATACTGTATATTCATATATTTCAGACTATGCTTTACCAAGCTAAAGTTGTTGCTCCTGGCGATAGAGATCAAAGGTGAAGAAGGTGCGGACAGTAAGATATCAATAAACCCCAGAAATGCGAAGATACATGCGAATACTCAAGGGTTTTTCATTGCACAATCCGCTGATGAGGTTAAAAGGTATGTTTATAAAGGGGCCGCTGTAGGAAGACTTAATAGATTCCTTATTGTTTAACCCAGAAATCTAATTTATAGCAGATTTAGACCTTAACCCAATTTTATGTTGGGAAGAAAAAATTATAACGAACACTTCAATATTAAGACATTTTAACCTTTATGCTCTGACGGTCAAAACACCCATAAAGTTCAATCTAATCTTGTTAACGTGATAAGGAAACGTAAAATTATATAAATTCTTCCAATTCCAGGGCGTGGTTTTACTGCAAAGCGTGCCACGAAGACATTAAGGATGAAACACTCATCAAAAAGTGCAAATGCAAAAACTGTAAGATCATTTTACTTCTATTTTTATTAAAACAATTACCATATTTAATTTGACATTTGATAGATTTAATAAACTGTGACATACTTTCTGGAATAGCAACAGTCGAGTCACAATCACTAAATGTTACTGTCTTTCGGCTGTAACACAATTAACACGCTCTTGTAACTTCTATGTGCGAGAAAATAATAATATTCGGCTAAAATTCTAGTGACCGCGCACCAGCGGAAGGTCGGAGCCGACATAGGTAACTTGCACACCCCACCTAACATACAGATTAACGTTTTCTAATTATTTTCGTGTATAATTTTGCGTTGCTTTAGTGTTGTTGCGTCCGTTAAACGGATCGGCTTCAAGGCATTCTGATCCGTGCATTCACTTATTTAGCGCTCATTGTGTATGTCCGCTCGCGGTATGAGAACATGCAACGCATCTGTGCCTCACGGAACTTTGCTCACAGCTCTATCTATCAGCAATTAGTGCATCATACATATTTATATCCGATTACACTTCCCACCAGCACCGTAAAGCATTCCAAGCTAGCATATAAATCGATATGATGCACTTTTAAACCGGTCCGAAAATGCATGACATTGGCACCATCACCCTAAACACTTAGTTCGATTCCGATGCCACGAAAGCATGTCTCAGAACGATTAAACCTAAACGGAGTCCAAAGTGTGAGCTTCCAAAGACAAAGACTTTGTAAAGCAGTACCTTTGCCGTGCGAATGACGAGTCACTAACTGAACTCAAAACACATTTCATCACTCTTGAAACTGGTAGATTCAAAACGCCATCGCCATATTAATTACCATATTGAATCTGCCAAGTTCGAAAACATCCGTCGAATCGAACAGGCCGTTAGTAATTGGATTTTTCCAGATGTCGGAATGATGATGATGCAGACCGGGATGGTGAAACAAAATCTTAATACATATCGAAGTGTTCCTGACGGTACGGAAAGAATAGATTGCCAATGCCGTCACTTAATATTTTTTGCAAACTAACATCGTATGAATACAAGCTAAAGTACGCTAACCCACAAAGCGGCAAACACGCAATTAGTTTAGCTACACCAATAAACTCAGGCGCTTGGTAGGACTTAAGTCAACATAACAAATACATGGGGCTCAAGCATTGGTTTCGCTTACTGATATGGCTATAATATTAATAGAAAGCGGAACATAGGATTGCAAAATTCTTATAGACTCCGCTTACCAAAACAAGCTTTGTATGTAAGCTCTACCCTTCTAAACAAGATTAACTGTGATTTTAAAATGTTATTTCTCGGTTCAGTGGCTACATTCAGGAAGGGCGTCCGAGCCGTCCAGATGGTGGGCCGGGCAAGTACGTAATGTTCACGTTTATGTAAATGTCGTTGTGTGGGCGAATGGTCGCCCTGTCCTGTATCAATATCGTCTGTCGTTTTGTCTTGTATCGTTATCTATGTGCATTACAGTTAGATGGATGTCTATCTATTAGCCGATGTACCTATCGGGAGATATTCTGTTATTTTATTTGTTTATGGCAATAAAATCTCAATTCGATTTTTCTAGGTATCATCTTAAGAATTGTGCATCGATAGTCTCTGATGTTGATGTTGTACCGTCTTAGTTTTTTTTAATGTTCTGTGCTTTTACGAATAATGTTTTCTATTATTGTGTAGGGTATCGTAATATTAAATTAGTTGGTCCCGTTGATAGTATCCCGAGAAAGTTTAACTGGTTGAAACATCAAACGTCGAAATGGTATTTGCTAATACGTAAAGTACAATTTTAATATCATTACAATCTCAGTATAGTCGAAACCTCATTCGTTCAATCATACCCCTACTTTCATTATCATTACCTTTCACTAGCAATACCACCATAATAGATTAAATGGAAGTATAAATAGATGATAGAACTAATAGCTAATTAACATTGGTTTAGATTTTAGCATAACCTAGCTCTAGTGCACACGCTTGTTCAGTACTTATACGTTATCATGCATGGTGCATGTTCTAAATGTTATAATAAAATATAATATAATTGTAGTTTTAATAAATGTTGTTAAATTGGTTTTACCTTGGTCCCTAGTAGAACCTTTAAAAATTAGACGTCACATGACCAAGTTGAAATCTCGATTTCCCATACATTCTGAACTTATGCGAGTCGTCACGGCGTGCGAGCTTCATGCCCGTGACGTAGAATGTGTATACGGAGTGAGTGTTGTAAGGAATGCGAACATGTGCTGATGTTTTGCAGATGACCACCATCCTCCCCCCACCTTCACGCCGCCAGAGTTGCCCAAGAAGGTCCATGTTCGAGGTACATCTCAGACTCCAAGGGCTGAGTGTTTTTTTTATTTTATATCATTGGCCCACAGCCAGCTTATATAGGTAAAATGCACATAGCTTGCCCATGCATCATAGACAGCACGATTGGCGGACGAGCCACGGAAAAGGTTTGCTTAAATCGAGCATGATCCTGGTCCAAGTTAGACACGAGTGGGTTTAATAGAACTAGAGGTGAAGTGCCAAGCTATACCACGATGCCGTTTCCTTGTTTTCGCATCACACTTTTCCAGATTAAAGTTGCAATTAATCTAAAAGTTTCCATTGACCTGTGCTTCTTGGTAAACTCTACAGCGGATGTTAATCATTCTGGTTTGCTACCCCGTCAAGCCTTGCAACTCATTGCATCTTTGATTATTGTATGCACTGTTTAGCTTCTGTCGTAGTTTTTACATGATTGAATTTTAATTCAATTATTTAGACCCATGTAGCAGCAATTAATTATCTGTTATTATTCAGGTGAAGTCGCCCGAGATCGGGGAGAGGATATTAGCTGTAAGTAAAAGTTTTTGTATGCTCACGCAATTTCTATCAGTACTTCGGACACGCTTAAAGAGCTGGTCCATATATTTTGTAAACTACTCTAGATACAGTGTTCAGCAGAACCCACTCAATACTCTTCTTAGCTACAGGTTGAACTTGTTTCTAGTCGAAATGTCTAATAAAAGTTTGTATAAGAAGATGTTTTGTAAAATTTTCAGTGATAAATCGCAATCACCGTAGCGCGGCCCCAACTGCTCTGCTGTCCCCAATGGCCAACCAGCTCATGAACTCCACCACCACGAGACAAGTGAATAAGGTTAAGCCCAACGTAACAAGAGCTCCGCCTGATACGTAAGTCAAACCTTCCTTAGTAAAGTGTAAAGGAGACTTACTAAAACTGATTGGTCTTACTATGTTATTTTTTAATACTAAGAACTTAACACATATACTGTGATTAACCCATATCACAGAATAGATAAATACTGTCAAGGATCGGCTATATACCTAAGGTGTACCGCAAAGATAAATGTAAATTTACAATTAATTTAACTTCTTTTCTGACGTTCATAAGTGTACTTGTTTACCTATATGAATAAAGTTATTTTGAGTTTGAGTTTGATATCATAGATTTTGCATGTTTATTCAAAAATGATGGTTAACGAAGCGGGGATATTTGTTCTAGTATAAGGACTAATTAATGGTTATATTAGATTATAACTACGAGTATATGTCTAACGTACTATTAACTAATATCAGACATATATACTTTCGTCGTTTCTCCTAATTTGCGATACGAACCAACGATATCGTCCTTCTATTCGTGAAGTTATAGAAATGTGAGTCGCATCAGCTGTGTTATAATAATCAAATTTCTTTGATACCTATAAAATAATGTATGTAAGAAATGGGAATCAGATATCAGTTTGAACTTTAGTCTTATACTTCACATACATCGTATTGCTAAGTATAATTCTTAATAAATGTAATAATAAGAATATGTAACACTATATAACATGGATTGGTAAAAAATTATTAAATTACAATTTAGGAGCGCACCTGTCTCACCACAATATAGTAAATTATTTCTTCTTTAATAAACATTCTAAACTAAAAGTGTGAATAACATTGGCATCAGCTCTAACTAGTAAAATCCAATTATCGAAACCCCTATAATTTTAATCCCCGCAATTTAGGTTACTTGATGTCAACCTATGCTTTTTATAGTTTATTCCCGATTAAATTGATTTCGATTATGTGAGCTCTAAATGTTTGTAACATCAATAACTATCCTTCGTTTATTTATGGCGCTTCATTAATTGAATTTCAATGTATTTGTTGTTTAATACGTGAATTAAATGGCACGTTGCACTATGCACGGCACTGAGTCGAAATACTTCATGACTGTTTAGCGTTTAGGTCTACTCTTCGCACGTTTATCGAGGCTCCTCAAAACATTGGAGAATATTTGACCCTGTTTACAGGAATCAGCCAGAGCAAGATACCAATTACCAGGCCTATCACCTTGCCTACGAAGTGAAAAAACTCATGTAATTCCAGAAATTATTTTCCAATTATTTTACTCCGTAGTTTAGGAGAGTTTGAAGTAGTTGGTAGTCCGTTAGCGCTTTCATATTTCATGTTATGGTTATGTATTTTGATGAAGAAATGTTCAGTTCGTATGCACTCAATAGCAGCACGGCACGCATGGATATTTTAGATGATTATTTGCGCATTGAATACAACGTAGTGATACAATTATAATGTTAGCACAGTTATGTTGAGCAATACACGGCTAATTTGAGTGATTTTTAATTGTATGCTGATTCACAATTACAAGATTCGAGTTATGTTATTTTCGCATATTTCTCTCTACTAATTTTCCGAAAGCGTTATTTCATCTTCTATACATTTCATAAACTTTTGGAACATTGGTGGACACAAACGATTTATTTCTTTCACTTTTTTTAATTTTCAATTATTCACCCTTAATAATGATTGGATGAAACCACATGAGAATAAAGTCAGATCTTAAAGATAAATGTACAAAACATTGAAACACATTGCACGTTCTAGAGCTGAATTGTGAATGAAACGGTCTTAAAACATCATCTAATGTCACAGGCCCACAAGTCGGAATAGCGGAGGCAATCAGAATAGTAATGGAGTCAGTCTGCCCGCTGGTATGGCAGACGACCAGTCAAAAGACTTCGATTTCGAAAAGACTGAGATGAAATATGACTCGACTGGAATGTTCCATTGGAGTCCTGCCAGAAATCTAGAAGATTGTATATTAGTAAGTATTTGTCTTCTTATAACACGAATCTCAGGTTCCAAGACTATCATCTACTGTTTAGGAGAGTCACAATGTCCTTATTACACCACTCTCCAGGGGTCCAGGGGTCTGGAAACCCGTTAGTATTAAAAGAATAGAAAATCCTGCTAAAATTAATCATTGACATGAGGCTCGACAACTTTATGCGATTTCCTTCTATTTTGGTTCAACTTCAAATTATATTTCAATATTTTGCCTATTTATGGTCTTTTTCAAATTGACGATTTTGGCAAAGAATTATGCATCTTAATAAATATTTTCAACTTTATAGGATAGAAACCAAGCCGCCATGACAGTACTGAATGGTCACGTGGTGGTATGTTTGTTCGCGGACCCGGATTCGCCACTCATCGGTCTTAGGAACCTGGTTATGCCGCTGCGTGCCTCGAACTTTCACTATCACGAACTAAAACACGTGGTCATCGTGGGTAGCGTCGATTATATACGACGGGAATGGAAGATGTTGCAGAATCTGCCAAAAATATCTGTTTTGAACGTAAGTGCTATTAAAGTGGTACAGGTTAAAGAGGAGTAGAGAAGTGTCACCATGCCTAAGAACGTCATGCGTTGTCTAGACTTTTTTTTTTATAATAGGGGGGCAAACGAGCTTGCGAGACGACCAAAAAGGGCAATCTTCGCAGCCCATAGGCGCGAAACATACAGAAAAGGCGTAAGGCGAAGGCGCAGAGACGGCGTGGAACAGATAAGGCACGGATGCGACTAGAATTATATCAAAGAGGCGAAGAGACGGCACAAAGAGTCATTACACAGGCTGACTTTATCGTGATAGCATGTCTTCCTCTTCTGCTGTTACTCATTAATGTGCAGAGACACCGAAGGGTATGAAGGGAAGGGAAGGGAAAATGTCACAAGAGCATAGATATTTAATATTTTTTTTTTTTTAATATTTCATATTATTATTACTTTTTTTTTTACTCAGACTTAGTAAAGACGTAAAGAGCTGGAAACTGTTCGATTATCTCGCAGAACTGAATATTAAAAACACTGTCGTCACGCATTTTTCTGCTCACTCTGTATAACAAAAGATGTGTTGCTTGCGCGCCACTCTAGTCGCGCCTGCTAGCGACGCGGAACAGGCGACGAAACGGCGTGCCTGTGCCACGCCGCTTGAGTATATATAATTCACAACGTGCCCCTTACGTACATTTTGTATTGACGCGTTTTGAAGCGGCACGATGCCTGCGCCGCGCCTTGACCTTACGCCTTATCTGTGTGTTTGGCGCCTAAGACACCCATTTTTAGTGGGTGCGTTGCCGGCCTTTGAGGGAGGAGTACACTCGCCCTTTAACTTGACTTGACTATATACTCGTATACCTAAACGTAGCTTAATATTTACTTATTTTGTCATTTGTATGGACTCACCTCATAGCTTGTTTAAATTGAGAATTTCTGTTCATAGAGGTTTAAAACTTTGCAAAAAAGTTGACACATTTTTTATCTCCACTAAGCGCTCTAATTTGGGGTTCTATGCTCCACTAAATTAGAATACGACTGTGGGGCTTGAACAATCTTGATATTCGGATCGTCATTCCGATTACAGGAAGGGCATTCTGCTATCACTTTCTTAGGTTCTTTTGTAATTTAAGGTCTTTTCGTAATATTTATCTTTGAAAACTTATTAATTATAAGCAGTACGTTTATCTGCAGCAGTACTTTTTTTTCTGTATGGCCTTGTTGGCTACAAATAAATGTCAGATTTGGAACTTTCTGTAAAAGAATTACATAGAATTACGAGAAAATTTATTAATTTTATTAATGTCGTTATTAATATTAAATACACTTTTTACACGATTTTGGAAATGTTAAATTGATTAACAGATTGTCTTTGTCACCATTTCCATGCTCGCTATCTTCAGCCATTCTAGACATTTCGATTGCTATCCGAATACAATTTTTATGTTTGTTCAGGGTTCACCGCTAAGCCGGGCTGACTTGCGTGCAGTGAACGTGAACCTGTGTGACATGTGCTGCATCCTGTCAGCGAAGGTGCCATCCAACGATGATCCAACGCTGGCTGACAAGGAAGCTATTCTGGCTTCGTTGAACATCAAGGTAATAATAATATGATTGGACAATTCACACCAATTGACCTAGTCCCATGCTGTTGAAGCTTGTGTTATGGGTACTAGGCAACGGATATACAATAATACAATAAATACATATTTAAACATCTAAAACCTATTTACAACACAAACAGACCTAAGCATCATGTGATGACCAAATGCTCATCACATCGATGTTTGTCTCAGCCGGGGATCGAAACCGGGACCCATGGATTCGCAGTCAGGGGTACTAACCACTAGACCAATGAGCCGTCAATCCTTCCAATTCCTGGTTTATTTTGCACTTTGCACTTTAAGGCAATTTATCATCATAGAAACCTATTTGATTCAAAAGATTAAAAACGTGGTTTTGATCCAATAATTTTGTGAATCAGAAGACTAACTTCATCCTCTAAGTGAGAATAATAAATAATAAGTCAGTAAGTAAGTCAGTAATATATCCTTTTTGTCCATTTTTTAAACAAAAAAGTTCTTTCACCCAAAATACTATATCTCACAAACTAATAGTACGACAGTTGTCAAATTTATACACACGTGTGTTTTGAAGGTAGCTTCAGCTATGTGTCAGCCTACGAACGTTTCAACCCACCAATATATTGAAACATTCAACAAACAACTTTCTTGAAAAGTAATATTATTGTCTTTACGCGAGTTTTTGTAAGTTTTGTAATAATCCAGCGGAATAATCCCCTAACTACTCCGAAAGACTAATAAAAATATTAGTTAAAATATCATTCATATTTTTTTCTAACTCGGTGTCCAGGCGATGACCTTCGATGACACGATAGGCGTGCTCAGTGCTGGGGTGAACGGATCTAATGCTGCGCCAGCGCCGCCAGGGGCTTCACCCGCGCCAGTTCTGCTGCAGCGAAGGGGCTCCGTCTATGGCGCTAATGTGCCTATGATTACCGGTAAGTTGCTCATCATGTTACTAATGAATAAAAACAACTTAGATCAGAGTTTGTTTTATTTCCCTACAATTTAGGAAGAGCTATAAAATACGAAAAAAACAAATCACTTACTCCGTTGGCTCTGCGACCCAAAAAGTATCTAGGGCTCCGAAATGAGAATCTTCTTGGGCTCCCTGTCCTGTGCCACTTTGCGCCAATTTCTGGCTTTCAGCTGCAGCAGGTCCTCATTAAAATAATTAAAAAAAAATAGACATCTCCTGTCAAACAAACAACGGGGAACAGGAAAGACAGTAACTATCTATAACTGTAATGTAATGATTTATCATATGATGAACATTATTGTATAATTTTACCTACAGAGCTGGTTAACGATAGCAACGTGCAATTTCTGGATCAAGACGACGATGATGACCCAGACACAGAACTCTATCTCACGCAGCCTTTCGCCTGCGGAACAGCCTTCGCTGTCAGTGTGCTAGATTCGCTTATGTCAACTGTAAGTACCTACATGGATTTGAGGAATTCAGGAGGAAAAGATGTAATAAAGAAATAATTTATAACAACGCAAACAATATTTCTCACACGATATTTCTGCTGGAGTTTTCGCAAGAGTATATAACAACCGTTACTAGATTAGGTCATATAATATAGGTACAAAAATGGTTTTTGGTGATGGTGGTAGAACGTATTTTTACTTTAACAGTTAGTGCGGCCATTATTGTGTTACTTATTTCTTAATTGATGAATTTGCGAACTAACTGTTGAAGACATTTTAACCTTTTTTATATTGGTATTACTTTATTTGGATTCTTCATAAATTTGGATACAATTTCTCTCGCAAATGAATAAATGGTAATGCAACTTGTTATTTGCAGACGTATTTCAACCAGAACGCACTGACTTTAATCAGATCGCTAATAACTGGTGGGGCTACGCCCGAATTGGAACTGATCCTCGCGGAAGGAGCCGGCCTTAGGGGCGGGTACTCCACATCGGAGAGTTTATCAAACAGGTACGTCTGTTGCCTACATATTATTTTTTTTTGTATTGTAATAATCCTGTGTATAGGGCAGTTGATTTTTGAAGTTGTGGATTTATTTATTTATTGATTTACATTTCGGTACATTTATAGAAAAACAAAAAACATAATACATAAAAATTATAAGGCAAGCAACGGGGATTTAAGAAAGTAATAAGTGTTAAAAATATGTATATAATATTTAATAATAAATTTGCAAATATCAAATGAATGATTGTTCATATTTTTAAATTTTTAAAATATTTTGCTTTATAACTGAGGTACCCACATAAGTTGTATTAATCAAAATAATGTGATATATTATTAATATATAATATATGTTTATTTTAAGTGTGTGTATATATTGATAATGTTTCAAGGAATACATGAAGCTTGATTATTATTATAATTATTTATCTAATAGGCAAGTTGGTGATCAGCGTTCTATGCCTGACGCACGCCCTCGACCTTTTTGTGTCTAAGGCAAGCTGGTTTCCTCACAATGTTTTCCTACGACCTCAGAGATGAGAGTCGCACGCTGAAGCCACCAGGCCAACACTGCTTTATATCGAAAATCTATATACTAGTAGAAAAACTAATAAATGCTAATTACCATTCAACCAGGGACCGTTGTCGTGTAGGCCAAATTTCGCTTTACAACGGACCGTTAGCCGAATTCGGCGAGGCTGGCAAGTATGGAGACCTTTTTGTCGCGGCTTTACAAAAGTACGGGATGCTGTGTATCGGCCTCTACCGGTTCAGAGACACCTCATCGTCATGTGACGCCTCCAGCAAGCGATACGTCATCACCAACCCGCCTGATGATTTCTGCTTGCTACCTACTGATCAGGTGAGACCGAAGGCCCAAGTTGATATATCGTATCTGTATCTGGCTTTAGCATTACTTGAAAATCTTAGTTAAGAAATGCTGCGTAAAAAATTCCATCTGAAAGAATATATTTGATGGTTGATCTTTCAAAAATATGGACTTGAACATATAGTGTGTGGTGTAATTCTCTTTCGCTGTTGATTAATATGAAAATTTTAAATAAAATAATTAATACTAACATAATATTTAGTCAAATATTAATATTTATCAAAGTAGTATATTTGCCGTTACTGTCTTATTGAGTCACATAAAATAGCATCCAACTATTACGTCACATTTTGTAGTAGTAAAACAAAGATGGCTGTGTAAATAAAAATATCTTCCAGGTGTTCGTCCTAATGCAATTCGACCCCGGCGTCGAGTACCACTCGTCGCACCTGGCTGCCACAGCCGGGGCCAAAGACGACGCCTCCTGACTATTGCTGTGCAGCGCCCTCACTGACGGGCCCTACTCCTACATCTAGACGCGGTACAACCCTGAACCTTCACTCCCTTTCGCCCCAGCCTCTGCGCTGAGGCCACAGGGATGAACGTTTCACTCCAAACGAACGACTCGTACTGCACATAACTCGTCTAAGTGAGACAGCAATACGTAGTGTGAATGACCGAGTATTGCTTCTTACCTTTAAATACATCGAACACCACCATGTTGTTTTCTTTGCACCGTAACGTAACGAGCGAGATGGGGATATTTCTGAATTGAAATATTTTTGTCCCGCTTGCTCCGTTACTAATAGAGCGAGATAGGAACGAGTCGTACGGAGGGAGTTGCGTTACGTTGGGATATGTACTGTAACTAGACTGTACCGGCCGGTAGGACCGTCGCACTACACTCCGACAACCCTACCCGATTTCCGAAAATCCCTTTATCCATACAAATGTTATTTTGCTTATAATAGCTGGGCGTCACACTTTCAGCTTGGAACTTTGATAGCACCGTTGACTGTGTGAAATCATCTATTATTAAGGATATTATAATTGACGTTTTTGCCTTTTATTTTCGATTCACCATCCAGATGCAGTGCACTTTATACCTTTCCCACGCTTCTTCGCACTGCAATGGAACAGTGGAGCAGGTATAGACAGGATTCAAACGCTAGCTTTCGATGTTGTATAGGTTTAGAACAGTTTGAATGCTGTATACATCTGGTGGACACTAGAACTACGCAAAGTTAACCTTTTAAACTTTTAATTGCAATCTGACGATAATATAAGGTACAACATATTTAGTACGTCCATTCCTTATTCTATAGAATACGTGCTACTCATGTAAGTTTGAATATTTTTACGCATTTATACTCATCGACTGAAGTCATACGTCTTGTTAATTTAGTTAAATTGAAAATTTGAATTTAGAATAAGGCTTGTGTCTATGCACTCTGGTAGTTTGCATATTGTTTATGCTCATAGTAACGGGTGTAGGTAATTGTATCCGCTCTGCTTATCCTCATGCACATGTATTTTTTGTTCATCCATATTCACCTTTTTTAAATAAATATCATATTTTTTATTTGTTTCTTTTGTTTTTATTTTTCCTTTGGGCGGGGATTGTCAAAGTGAACGTGACATGGCGCTGCACATTTATGAACTGGACTGAACAATTGCAAGTGCTCACAATCGATACGAAAATGAATGCAAGTGTTATTTTGATGCTAACAGTGTGATATTATTTTCGAAACGTTGTTAAATAGGGCTTCAGAAGCCTGCGGTGTATTTAGTGTTAATTCCGGGTGCTTTGACGATTGTGGACTTCTTTCATAGTCTAGTACTTTTTAGATGTTATAAGTAGAGGTACTGATTAACTGTTACTTAATCCGGCTAATCGATATGAAACACGTTTAAAAATCAATTGGCCCGTGGCAGTTAATTAGTATTACTTAATTTTTATATTAGATTGTGAACCATTCATCTTCTAGTAAAACATCTTTTAACTTCAAACATTTTACTTTAATACGGGATATTTGACAATTTATAAAAAGTGCTTTAAATAATTGACGCATTAAAAAATAATTTGTCAATAATCCTGAACATTGTGTAGTTGATCACACATTTTTTTAAATCTTTGTCATAATATCGCTTTCGTCATATAGATTAGTCGAAATTATAAAACCGGCCCTAACTAGATAATTTATATTTCCTTTCAAGTGTGTTTGAATAGGTCCAGGAGTTAGCATTTGTTTATAAAGGAATTGAATGAATACTGCCATATTTTTGTAATAAAGCGCCTTGGTCCATACAAATCTCAAAATACCCTAGGGGAATAAAGTACAAAGTCAGGCTCACTGGATCTCGTTGTGGACATGTTTGAAACGCCGTAAAAACGGAATCCTGAACTCGTTTTAAACGGATTTATATTTAAGACTCATTCGCGTTTAGAGCTTACAAGAGAATTTATTTCGAAGTCGATTAAAATCACTTGCATCAGTATCACGCGTTTATTAATAAGTAATTAGGGAGATGGTATTTGTATAAAATTGAGATGGTTGTGCACGATAGATATTTATTAATTTTATTTAATCATTATATGAAGCAACTCCATTAAATCGGAATCGGAAAATGCTCGCAAACTATGGCTACAATTTGTGAAGATTTTGTTTGATTTGATGCATGCAACAGAAAGCCCATAGCCAAACTAGGTTTAGGTACGTTACGACAAGTCACCAATCGACAATGTAATTATTGTAGTATGTTGTATATAGTCGTATGTAATTTTGTATATTACATAAGAATTTTTTCCACATCTCCTTCGCATTAAAATAGATAGTTACGGCTGCTTCAAAGTTTACATTTGGAAAAACTGTCGTGTGTAGTTTGTTGTGAACTAGGCATAGATTGTATGCTAGTAAGAATAGAGTTCGGACGTCTCAATGTAAAAATGTAAATTACACGCTAAATAGATATTTTGGATTAATTACGTGTTATTAAATAAGATTATTAATTAATTATAAAATGACGATTTTCCTTTAATATTTTTATACAGCATTACAGATATATATCGCAATTAAAAGTTTATAGAGGTGGTTCGGTGTGCAATTTGAATAGTGTCTAAATTTGTATAATCGCCTTATCGAGAGAGAATATAGCCAAATGTTCTGCGTGTGTTTGCTTGAGATTATCGTACGTAATTTTTAATGTGCATGTGACTCGTGGCGTATGAAATCGTTATGCTAGCTCTAATTACTATAAAATATTTAAAAACTATTACTAATCCAATTTGCGTCTACACGAGGGTAGACCGAAACTTTCATGGAACTCATTCATAGACGGTCCGAATATCCGAACCTACCAATGGTGAAATCGCAACGATTCTACAAACATTATTGTAACCAAGTTCTATCTTGGCTGTCAATAATTTTTTACCAATCTTCAGACGCCTACTTTTCATATACTTTCGTCACTCACTTTAATGTGCCCACGCACAAAAATAGTATGCAAGCAATATTGTGAATACAGTTCATTTTAGTTGCAAGATTGGTACATTAGTTCCTGTGTAGTGTAACTGAAAGTCAACGACATCCAAACAAGTGAAAGTCAAATTCGGAATCACTTAATGCCTATATATAAGTAGTAGATTCATGTTCAGTGTGCATTAAAATCCTAGATTTAACAACATTGTTGACTATTGCTAATAGCTTGAGGTTGTTAACGTTTTTAGAACAGATTACATTTTTTATGTAATATATATACGTATATACCTAAAATCTTAATCGCTCTACGAATATTCGCTAGTCAAATTTTTGTAAGCTGATGCCATCTATTGTAATGTTACACGCATAGTCTTCTCTTAATTAACGTAGTATCAATATATAATGATGGCTGTGAGGTAAATAAAATTATAACACTTTATTAATTAAATATATAAATTAAAATAGTAACTAATGTCATTATATTGCTATCGCTATGACTTTAAGACGCTGCCCCTTATTCTGGTTTGGCACTGGTGTATGGCTATAAAAGGGTCCTACTAGCTGTTGGCTAGAACGAAGATCTAGGCTAAGATTCAGAGTCGAGACTTAGCTTTAAATGTGATTTCTGTCAGGCAGAAATCTATTTGACATCCGGGTGTCCTGCTTAGCGCAAAACTCTGAGGGTATATTCAGAAACGAGACTAAGTGTGACTCCTTTATGTCTAAAACGTATTAGATTTTGACATAAGGGAGTCATAAGTCTCGTTTCGGAATCTCACCCATAGACTCAAGACAATTTTTTGGCAGAAAGACCGCGCTACCAAGACCTTTTCGGATATTGACTCGCAGATATTTAATTACACGTCAATATCTAATTGTTTGCCACCAGTGCCAACCAAAGCCTTCATGTGCCATTCCACAGCGCTACCATTAACGTCGCATTTTTATTTCTTATAATTTCCTAGATTAAAAATTAGTACGATTAATTTTGCTTCAGATATACAAACATACATCAGCGAATTTGTAAAAAGAATATTCGGAAACATTTAAAATTTTAAGGTTAACTTATTTCCAAATTATGGACAGACATTTGAACAAAAATCCCGACCGTTATAAAGTTTTTTTGTAAAACTATTGACAGAAAAGAATAATTCCCAAAAATTTAGTCACTATTGCTGCTTTGACGCACGGTAAAATTATTGGAAACGTTTAAAATAGCTCATAAAAGCTAATCTTAATCCTGTGTTTAATAAAGGTTACAAAAAATGCAATTCGGTGTCTAGATATGGCAGGTATTAACGGCAATTTAACTTAATTGTAATTGCCTCATCGCTAATTCGCTACACATTTTACATAAGTCACAAATTTAATAAGCAGATGCAAATCACGATGCCGGCATTACTATCTGACTGTTTGAAATATATATCACACCACAAGAAATTATTTAATATTGTTGATGTTGATTGTTAATAAATTGCAAATAATGTAAATATCAAATAAATTCTGTATTTGTATTTGATTTGTTGTTTGATTTATACCTGACCTTAATTCTTTTAGTTCCCGTAACTTAAGTTGTAAGAGTCGTTATGCTTATGCCTGTTTAAAATCTTATTAAGTTATTTATTAGTAACAGATAGTTCTTTCACTTGCTATAGCCAGAAGACAGAAACATAATCAAAAGAGAAAATATTTAAAATAATGCTTACGAATCAAAACTATTTATTAAATACAAAAATATAACAAAATTTTTATACCTGTGTACTGTAGTGTTATTTTCTATCAAATTTCGAGAACAGTGTTTGATGATATATGTAGCCCCAAATAGTAATATAGTTTGCTGTTTAAACTTTAAGTCGTTTTATCTGTGTGTTATTTAACTTGAAGAAAGAACTGCGATAGTTAAGCCTAATTGTAGGAGTACCTAACTGTGAAATTATATTTGAATACAACTCTAGTTTTCTGGCTGCACCATCTCGTCATCATCATCATCGACCATCGTCAATGGCTATACACCCCCTTGTGGGCCTTAGCTCCTCAAGACTCAAGTACACTTCGCCATCGCAATTTATCCAATGCATCCCGCGTCCAACTGCGAACCCCTATTGTTTCGAGGTAGGTTCAATAAGGACCTTGGGGTTCTGTTTTCCGCCATTCGGTGCACTTGTCCCAACCACTGGAGCCAGTTGCACTTTATGAATTGGACGATGTCGTCAAACGTCTTGCACCATCTATGTTCATATTAATAAACAAGTCGCAATTTTTTTTATAAATCTTATCAATTTCAATAACTAGACATGTATTTTTTAAATAACATTTTTATTTACATAAATTTATATATTTACAAAAAGCATCACACATCAAATATGTGTCGAAATGTGTATGACACGATAATTAATAGGACTAGAATCACGAAAAATATTAATAGATCATTTATAATTTGTTTCCTAAGAATATCAATCATCAATGCAAAAATGCTTGCATACATTTATATAATCACAACATTATTTATTCTCATATCTTTATGGTTTGACATCCCATAACCCTCCCAAGGGACATCTGTATCAGTCATTGATAATTTTATTAATGCTACAAGGGTACCCAAACTTAGGATCCCAGGTTAATATGCCATTTTACACTCAGCTATGGAGGTTTACTCCTTATGTATACAATTGAATCTCTGCTAATAAATGGAGTCAAACAACCAAATCCATAACCAAGGTTATAGAAGAAATAATAGATACAGCACATAGGTTTCTTTTTATTCCAGTATGTATTGTTACCTAAATATTCAAATGTTTTTTATTTGTTACCTAAACTCCAAATTTCAGTTGGACATGCTAGTTATGTCTCAGTCTATCCAGATGAAGTTTTGTACTGCTCTTTCTAGACTTACTCTGTTTCTTGGCAGATCCAACAACTACCTTTTTCTTTTCTTCTTCTCGCAACAAAGGTGGTAATGATACTTTTCTTATATTATAGTTATTTTGTTGCCCATACCTAAATGTTCCATTATGTGGTTCAGGTGAATACAAAGGCTGTAGAGATGATTCTCTTAACCTTGCTGTAAAAACTCTTGAATTAATTCTATTATCTAAGGAATTCATATTTGAATTCTTTGTGTGATCTAGAGAAATGTACGATTTTGCACTATTTCTTCCATAATTTACAGATGTATCAGGACGATATGGCTTCATCCATTTCGAAGACGCTATATCTGATCTTAGTATAGATTGATTCTGTTTTTTCTTATGAGAAGGACTCCTTATTTGTATAGGCTTTATTTGTAACAGTGAACTAAATGTATCTAACAGATCAATTTCTGGTGAGTATTGGTATGATATCTTTTCTCTGTTAAGTTTTGTATCTGGAATATCACTTGTTGATGTCCGAGGTGAGTTTGTAGGTGTGACATCTGTACTGCTCTGAGAGTGTCTCTCTTCACTTTCACTAAATTGTTCATAGTCACTGTAATGCATTGCAATAACTTCTTCATGTTCAATTTGTCTATAGTGTAATCTTTTATCTGGTATAGAGATTGCCTTTCCAAGTATTCTGAAAAATTCAATTAGGATTACTAAGGAAATGGATTCTAAAAGAAGATAAGAGCTATGCAAGCATTTAAAGAATTGACTGTATTTTTTATCTTAGAAGTTTAGTTAATACATATAGCATGAGTACAGTGGTGGTGCAAATATTTAAGTATCAAAATCTAAACCTGAAACACTAGTAGTAAAGGCTTTCCTTTTTTTTATTACTTGATTGAAGGTTTTAAAAGTATAGTAAAAAAAGGTCAAACTTTATACCTAAGTTGTGGGTGCAAATCTTGCCATTGCCGACATTCCTCTAAAATTTCAGGTCTTTTAGATTTTTCCCCATCCTCATTATACAGAGTTCTCTCAATTCTTTCCCATTCATCAGCTAATACTCTTGTAGTCTCAGCTGTGTTTCTTTTTTAAAATTGATCCCGCACTGCTATCACTCTCCTCACTATGAAAGTCTGGTGTGCCTAGAATTCATGTTAATCAATATCTTTACTAATTATTACCAATATCTAACAGCTGCAGCAAAAAAGTACCTATTTAGTGGTAGTTGGCTTTAAAATAATAAATAATCTTGTTTTAAGTACATAGGAGATTAGAATCTCATGGAATTTACATATGATTTACTCCAAAAATGTGTAAAATTCTATTTACCATAACATTGATGGCTGAAACAATTTTTAAATATGATTTAATATATTTTGACTTACTTGTCTCACTCTCTGAGAGGAAATCGGAATATGGTGTTCCTGATCGTTCCAAGCTGTCACCAGCAAAATTGTTATACGAGTATACTAAATTTCTATTCAAATTATAAGCATTTGCAGAGAGTACAGAAAGCTCCGGTCGACGAGGTTTTTGTTGACTAATATATGGTAAACAATCCCCTCTATTTACATTCTTCTCTCGAGCCGACATATAATTTCTTGCCGACATAGTTAGATACATAAAATAGAGTAAATTTTTCCACCCGCCATGTCATAAGATTTCAAATTATTTTAATAATTCAAAAACTATGTAATGATTTAAACAAAATGTTAACATATTATAGATCTCTGCATAACATAAATCGTAATTTTCAAAATTCAATAATAAAAATAATCAATAATTGACAATGACAGTGACATCTATAGTAATTTAAATAGTCAAGCATTAATGGAAAACCTATTTGAGTTTGACAGACAAACTCTATATCTACCCTAGACCCTACCCTCCTACAATACAATTGTAATATTTAGTAACTAATTTGAACTTTGTAGTAAGTCTGTGGCATGTAGTTAGAGTATAAATTATAAAAAAGCTGAAGATTATATTTTACATCTATTAGCTTAGATTATTATTTACGTGATAAGTCTAATACAGTACATTTTATGTACAGAAGAAAAATCTGTCTTTTATCTAATATATAGTTTACTTGCGTTTATTCACAATAAAGAATTTTGACGAGTGCGCGAGTGGAAAGTAGTAGGACACTGGACAGCCGCAGTTGGTCGCAGTCCACACCCGCAGACCGCAGTGAATTTATAGACACAGTTTAAGACTAAGGAACAGTAGTTCGCTTAAATATTTGCTAGTCATATTAATCAGCTGTGTTCAATATAATGTCGCATTTACTTACGAAAAGCGGTTTATCACAGGATGAGGTGATATATTATTTTCATTTATTTACTTTAAGACATTAAATAAGCTAACATACTAGTATTATTTTTGAACAGAAACTACTAATGCCATTCACATACATCCAACAAGTGCCAGGAAAGCAGATAAGAGCTAAATTAACTGTAGCCTTTAATTATTGGCTTCGGGTGAGTGATGAAAAATTAAAGGCTGTTGGAGAGATTGTTCAAATGCTGCACAACTCCAGTTTACTGTAAGTAAAGTGAAACGTCATTAAATTGGTTGTAGTTTATGATAGCTAGATACTTGTATAGCTCAACCAGGCACAGAAAAATTAATGTCTGTTTTATTTTTAGTTATTTAGTAAAATTAGTTAAGTCTGCTGTTCTCAATAAACTTGAACAGTTATCGTTCATAAGTCAAATCAGTGCTTATGGGTTACACTCCAAGTGTGATTATTAAGTACTTATCTGCAAACGGGATTCAGCAAAAGAGAAAGATACCTCATTGTCCAATTTGTGGAGTTATGGTATAAACTATCAATAGCCGAGGTGATTTTAATTGACGTTACAATTTATGTTCCACCCACATTGTTACAATTCTCTACCAATTAAATGTTATTGTTCCTTATTAGTGTGTTTCTTAACAAGTTGATTGTATTTAAATTATTCCATTGAGCTAAATGATGAACATAAAAGCATTAGGTAATGTTAGATTAAGTTATATAAGTATACATCTAACAATTAAACAATTGCTATAAAATTGAAAAGCCAATAATTTAAGTTATTCTGCTCACTACTGGAATCATAGGGCAGTGAAAAATATCTTTAAGCTTCTGAAAAGATCTCTGCAATATTTTTCTTATTTAAACTGTGTAGCAAGACATTAATTTATTTAATAACACACTTCCAGATTGGATGACATAGAAGACAATTCAATTCTGAGGCGAGGCATTCCAGTAGCACATTCTATATACGGAGTGGCTAGTACAATTAATGCAGCCAATTATGTTATGATAGTTGCACTTGACAAGACATTGAAATTAGGGCACCCTTTGGTATGATGATCATGATTTTTTGTATAATGCAATATAATATAAACACGGCAATTATTGACTTTGTGTAAGAAAATTTAGGCGATTTATAAGTGAAAATAAATATAGTTTACTACTTTATATACTTTTGCCTAAATTAAATATTTCTTTTGCAATCCATTTCTGTACCTGTGTCTTTGACCATTTCTGTATTTTAGGCAACTACGGTATACACTGAACAGTTACTAGAACTACATCGTGGTCAGGGCATGGAGATATATTGGAGAGATAATTTTCAGTGCCCGTCTGAGGACGAATATAAAGAGATGACTATGAAAAGTATGTTATATACTTATTATTTTGTGATTTTTCTAAACATTTTCTTAATAAATGTTTGGTTTCTTTATTTTTCCATATAAATATCTTTTAATCTATCATCTTTTAGCATTTCAAATAAAATGTGTTAGCCCTTTGGCCAATTGCGGGGCAGTAGGACTCCCTACTATTTTTGACTAGTTTAGTATTTTTCTGCCCTCATTAAAAAACTATTGTACAGGTACAATTATCCATATATATTTCCTTTATATTACAGAGACGGGAGGTCTATTTATGCTGGCCATTCGATTGATGCAGCTCTTCTCCGAGAACAAGTCGGACTTCAGCCGACTCTCATCTATCCTTGGCCTTTACTTTCAGATTAGAGATGATTACTGTAATCTCTGTTTGCAAGAGGTAAAAACTTATTTCATCAATTTTATTGTATTTTAATAGTGAATATTTTTTATACTATAGAGATTGCTTGCGTGTAGGTTAAAATAATTAAAAACGAGTAGTCTTTAATTTTGACTTGCTTTTAAAAGACCCGGTTAAATGTTAAGGTGCGCTTACACGGGCAACTAAAATTGCTCAATTCCAGTCAATACTCGTCAACTATGACGTCACGACTACATCAAGCAATTTACGGCAACGGCAACAAGCAGCAATACTGCGCAATACAATATTGAGTGATATGGCGCAACTTCATCAACTAGGCAATACTGTACTGGCCTACACGAGCATTTCAGTATTGTTTCGCTATGGACGATATTGTTTTTGCTGCGGCGGCTTGTAGCGCTTTTTTTTTTATTATTAATCTAAAACAAAAATGAAAGAAAAGGAATAGGCGTATCTGGGTGCGATCGTTTTTGGTAAAGAGGCCGCAATTTTCATTGTGTAAAGAATTATATGATATATTATTCAAAAACATTACTAGAATGTCACGAACAGACTTTGCATTACTTTTGAATAAAGTAATTAGAAATTATTATTATTTAGACCTCTCGCTCTCCCCGCGGAAGCAAGACGACAAGCCGCAAAACAAACAGGTGCGAATGAGATATATACAAAAATTGCTAATAATTTCCAAGTCCATTGGATATTTGTCAATTCGTATCTGCGACATTGAGCGGTATGAAATACCTGGAGCAATTAGAAGCAATATCGCCGAAATAATTTAATGAAATTTATTGAATTTATTGAAATTGCTCTATTAATTGCTACAGATCGGTCCATTCGTGTCGCCGAGCAATTATTGCCCTCGTGTAAGCGCACCTTTACATCAAAAACTTTTCCAATCAAGACTCTTTAGAATGTTATTTATTAACGCCTTTTTTAAATTGGTTTGAAATAAATTTACACCTAAATTTGAATATGAAATTATGAACTTGACGTTTTATTTGACGATGATTTTGTCATTTTAAAAATATATAATCGTGAAACCGATTTTGATAAAGGAGACCATTAAACATGTCTCCGAGACACGATTATCTCTCGATAGAAAAGTATTTGTGACATCATTTACAAAGTAAAGCATGATTACGTAATTCCTTTGATTTTTAATTGCTCTAAAAATTAGTAAAAATTATCTTAATTCTGAATACATATTTAATGTAGGAGACCTTGTAATTAAAAATAAAATAAGAAACTTTGTTCATAAGAAGGTTGTGACAAAACTGATCTGATACAAGTCCGCACACTAGGGAGCCCCGCTGTTGTGGGTGACTACATTTCAGTTTTTCCGTACAAACTGTATGTTTAAAACAAAATTAATATAAATTATGTATAAAATAAAGACACGAATATACACATATATTTAATTTAGATTGATTCCTTTTAACATTTTAACTTAAATTATAAAGAGCAGCGGGTTCTGGGCTTCTCACTTTTAATCACTATCTACTAGTCCCAACGCGATCCAACCTCTCACCACAATGCTCGACTGAATCCTAAATCAGTACCGCGTTCCCTGTCAAAAGTCTCTGCTCTGATTGGTTGTAACAATATTCGTACACGATACTATTAAACAATCAAAAATAACAAAACAAATCAAATCAAATTATTAATATAGTCCAATTACTCGATCATAACATTTCCTGATAATCCTAGAATTCCCTGACGTTTATAAGTATGTGAATGGACGTGTGAACATTAGAGTGTAGCTGACAGATGAAGTCTTTGCAACCACATATACTTTAGTAACTAACAATACCTTATATATTGTATGACAACTATTGTGAATGAAACAAGATTCGAATCCTTTAGTTTTAATTAAAATTAAAGGATTAAAAGAACCTAACCTTTTTCTATTCAATTAAAAATTTCAAGGCCTAAATAATTAAATTAATTTTTCAGTACTCCGAGAATAAAAGCTACTGTGAAGATCTGACGGAAGGGAAATTCAGTTTTCCGGTCATTCACGCGATCCGAAACCAGGAAGGCGACAATCAAGTATTGCGTATCCTTTTAAATATGTTTTGTTTTTCTTAAGAGAATGCTTTTATGAAAAAAAACGAAATCGGTTAAACTTAAAACCCTAGTGGAAAGCAAATCAACAACGAATACGAATCATCTAGTTAAACATTTTTAGTTTTATCATTATCATCAGCCTCTTTACTTGGTCCATTTCTGGACGTAAGCCTCCTCCATTTTCCACCAGTACGCTTTGCACTGGTCTCCCTGTATGTGTATCTCACTGGGAGCCATCCATCTTCCTTGACGATGTCGTCAGTCCACCTAGTCTATGGGCGGCCGCGCAGTCTTTTGTTTCTGCCGAGGCTATGCGAGGAGCCTGCGGGTCCTTCGGTTCTTGTCTTGCCTTATCCATTCTTGAACCATAACTAAATTGTTTAATAGTCAAATAACGTTGTAACACTTAAAAGATTTTTGAGGTATACAATAAAAAAAAATCACAAAACAAATTTTTATTTTTTTTACTTATGTAACTTTAATGACGTTGTGGTTTATGATATTTTCCTTTGAATAATTGTAATGTAGAGGGAGGGTAAAACTTGCTGAGTTTCTTGCTCTTTATTCTCAGAACAAGGCCTCCTGGTAGTTTTGCGAACGGATGACATTTTTGACATTTATAAGCATGCCCTAAGACGCATCTTAACTGAATAAAAGTATTTTGATTGATTGATTGAGTACTTTTATAAACAAGTGTAATTGCACCCAACTCTTTTCATCACAGGAAATACAATTTGATAGAAAGAGAGATTTGTTGTTGTCATACAGCAGTCTCGTTTCGGAATCTCCTAAGTGACGATCAAAAGCCTTTTGATAAGTCATTAACTTAATCTTGAAAATGTTTAACTTAACAAAAAACCAGACATACTCCGTCAACGCACCCGTGACGTGGAAGTGAAGCGGTACTGCATCAAACTGCTGGAAAAATGTGGTAGCTTCCAGCATACCAGAGATACCCTTATTGCGCTGGACCGAGAAGCAAGGGCTGAGGTAATTTGATGTTATATTTGTAATTTAGAAAGATTTTTCAGCATCACCTTAAGTACTGTAGCATACTTTACTTAAACGAAACTTAGACGAGAAAATGATAGGGGAAAATGGAATTGCATTTATAACCGACTTAAAATTTATTTACCCTACACTTTTACACAATACTACTATCTTTTACTAATATTTTTTTTCTTCATTATTACATTCTTACACTAGCTGCTGTGGTCTCTAGCAGAATATTTAAAATTAAAATTTGTCCTAAGTTTCATTAAAATTGATTCAGCAGTTTTAGATATATAAATGCATTTCTGAAATGGGGCGTATTATGCATAATATAGTAGATATGTAGATCATTTAATTTAATAAAAAATGGCTGCGTATTAACTAATGCGGCCGGCCTGGATTCGAGTCTCCGCGAAACAATTATAATTATTTCGCATTGGTTTGCACGGTTATCAAAAATATATGTAATATAATGGAATATGGAGGACTCCACTCAATTTTCTTATTTAGAAGTTAAATATATACTTCCAGGTGGCCCGTTTAGGAGGAAACCCGCATTTAGAAGAACTACTTGATGAGCTCCTAAGTTGGCAGTCAAACAAAAAATAGAAAATATGTGTAACACAGCAACCAAATTGTTAGCGAAGGTAAATCAATTTTATTTAGGCAAATTTAGATTTGCTAGCAGTTGCTTAAATTTTTTATAGTCTTAGATTTTGACGAAGAAATGTATAAAGATGGTTAGAAAATGGAACCGCGCAATACATAAAAATAAAAATTGCGAAAGACGTGAAAATTGTGTTTGTGTATGCATAAGTTTTTGCAATACATATTTGAAATTGTTTTTTGTAATAAAAATCTCACGTTCTTTCACATCACCAACGAATGAACAATAACAAATAATTGCTAATAAAATTAACATTAATTTTTTATTGCAATATGTTTTGACAACTTAAGTATTCGGTTTTGACAACCGTTTCGTTCCATTTTTTTCAATATTTTGGTTATTTTAGAGACAAATTAAGACTTAAAAAATTTATTGTTTTTTTTAATTTTTAGTAAAATTATGATAGTTGTTTTTTAATCCGCTTGTCAATGAAGCACATCACAAATATTCTCAAGTTGACGGGGCGTTAGCTTAATGTGAGAATAACGGAGCGTTTTGCTCGTCTTGCGAAAAAGCAGGTTCCATAAGATCTACTAACGAATTGAAGATGTTAAGTTCGTTTTCAATAAATTATTTACTTAATAAGTACTTAAAATACTTTTGTCATTAACTACTAGTTTACATAATATACTAGTCACGAGAAAGTTGCTTTAGCATACATTCCGTTAATTTTAACCTAAAAGTTAATTGTTAAAACAAAAACTAAGCGCCAATAGTAGCAGGTGTACTCTGACACATCAAAAGCGTTTCCGACTTTTAACCTGTAGGTTATGTAATCGTTTTTATATTGTTTCTTTGTCTTTAGTTTTTGACACAAATTGAGTCGATAATAATCCGTTACAGAGTACAGGCCCTGCTTTCCTATTAATGTCACAGTGTACTGAAATATGCTAAGTGTCTTAATATGGACCTCTAATAGTGCCTAAAATTCTGATTCTACCTTTAAGATAAACTTACCTTTTTGACTTGGCGGCAAAATACTATAAAACTTTAATTTAGGATCAAATAAATATGTAGTATTTTCGGTTCATTTGACTTTGATTACATATTTTGTCTTACAAAAGATAATTAATTACGGAGCCTAACGTGACGCCGTTATAACGATTATCATAGGGGTAGAATTTAGTGCGAATTATGACTTTAACTAGCCATGAACGCGTTTACCTTAAGACTACCTAAAAGTTAAGAATGGATTAGACATTTTTTTTAAATAAAGCGTGAATTGTGAATCTCAGCAATCTTAAAGTACTAAAATTTTGTTACCTTTTTTAATTTTGGTTTTTCATATCAGGCCACATCGTATTTGTTTTAAGCAGCAGTATTATGCGGTTTTTATTATTTTGTCTGTAACGCATAATACATATAATGTCGTACGTTAAATATCCTTAAATAAAATGAATTTAAGTACATTAATCTAGATGGTAGAAAGTAGTACTTAGTTATCTATGGCATTTATAAGCTTGATGGAATGATTAATTAAGTGTACGTGCTCTAACGTGCGGTGACTGCGTTACCATGGTAACACAAACGGCCGCCATTTTGGAATAATTTGTTCAAGCTGTACCAAAGACAGATTTTTAAAGATTGTTATTTCTCTTGGGCTTATTTTTAATATGTGCAATTATAGATAATGGTAGTTCATAATAATAGTTTTAACTATGTTTACTGTTATTTTTAAATTTAATACAGTTTTTTTCACACCACTGTATATTTGTTTTATATATTATAAAAACACAAGAGCATGAATTTTGAAATATTTGTTATGTATGTAAAATTTCTTAAAAACATTTTACATACAAAACTGGATTAGTAACAATTATTAACCGACATTTACTCGTCATACTAAATGTTCTAAGCTAAAAATATGAGATTGACCGAGTATTTGAATGAAAAGTTTAAATAAAAAAACTATTGTTACTATATATATTATTAGATTAAATCGTTCTATTGTATTGATAATAACTGTTTTTCTTTTATTATATATTTTAAGATATTTAAAGCTGTGTGATTACTAATATTACATATGTTATCTCATACGCGATTATTTAAAACGTATTTATTATACTAACTCGACGTTCAAATTTATTTTAATATTAAGCTTAATAGTTAGCTTAAATAGTTATGTAAATAATTGAATAAATCGCATTTATATCCGTTAAATACGTATTTATAATCGCGTATGATACACGCGTTTAAATTACTTTAAATGTAGCATATTTTCTTGCGTATGAAATTGAATAAAAAAAACCTTGAAAAGGAAAATGTTGGTTTTTGAAGATTGTTAATTATTTTTGCTAAGCAAAATTAAAACTGCTTTGTTTTTGTTGTAATTAACAGTTTAAAAATACTTTTACTTAAAACTGACAGATGTCTTCCATAATGACAATATAAAAAGTGTGTATCTTAGTAATTCAATTAAATGATATGCTAGTAAAATGTTTTTTTTTATTTTTACTATCTATATATATAAAAATGTTATCTTGGTTTGTGTTCGCTTCAAAACCTCAAAAAGTTCTGCACCGTTCTGCATGATATATAATCCGCATCAAGGATTGTTTTTATCTATTTTTTTTCCACAAGTATTGCAAAATTAAAATTATATGAAATGTATTCTTTGTTTTGTTTCTCATTTCTCAACCGTTCAATCACAATGTGCCACAACGAATCGTGGCAGGGAACAGCTAGTAATTTATATGCTTTTTTATTCATGAAAGAATAACACAAAGATCCTATTTAGAGCCTGCGCATCGAATCGTATACCTACTTCCATCTGAAGCTAGTGAAATATCTTTATATTAGACCTCAGTAATATAAATATGTTATCGTACATACATCACTTTTATGATTTAAATAGAAATAAGAATCGTGGAATTCAACAAAATGTTAAACAAACTTTACGAACTCGCGGTAATTAGTATTCATGATTTTCATAATAGTTATGAATATTAATAAATAAAAGTATAAAATATTTTGTATAATTTAATAATTCGCGAATAATTATTCTAAACAATCACCAAGTTAACAACTCATCCATTGCCGCCATTAATTCTGTGTTGCCACCGAGACGATTGATCTGAAAATTAATACAAATTATTGTGTTAAATAAAAATATACCTTTCGTAGTATAAAATTTAGACGAACTGATACTAAGGATAATAGTTTTAGCAAGTGGCTAAGGAATCTTTGAATTTGCATATTTAGGCCGAGAGATGGCGCCAAATATCATCTCTTTATAAGATGTCAATTGCAAAATATATATAGACCAGGGTTTAAAAATAATAAAAAGTTAAAAAAAATAGTAGGATGAAACCGATTGGAAATGTAGGAGAATATTATAAATCAAATATTTCAAATCAAATAAATTACCGCGTATTTAGGACATAAAAAGGTAAGTTTTCACCAAATTTCGTGGAAAGTGGAAGAAAAATAAAAAACCAAAAACTTGTTTTTTTTAATTTTCTCATGAATTTTGAGGTTATGTGAGAAAAATACAAAAGTTTTAGATCATTATCTACAACTTTGCCATTTGACTTTTTTCCATAGGACTTTTAGTTTTGCCGGAAATCGAGAAAAACCGCTTTTATTTTTTACCCTTAAAGACTCTTCCCCTTCCCGACCTCATATCGCCCGTAAATTATTTTTCCTTTCATGTTTATAATATTCTCCTTTTCCAATGGTTTTCATCCTACTATTATTTTTTTGGTTTCAAAAATTATCGACCCTAGTCTAATAAAATAATTATCATACAAATACATATTACAACGTGTCGAGTTTAATTTAATCAATCTAAAGTCGAGAATCACGATCGAGCGACGCAATAAAGTACCTACTCGATTTGGCAAATTCCTCGTTCTTCGGAGAACAAAAATATAAAGCAAAAGATGTAAGCTCTACTAAACATAGAGTGCTTACCTCATCCCTTATGTGCTTATCGAGGTGTACAAGTCTGTCGCGTGTGTACTTTAAACTGCCCAATCGTTGTAATTCAGCTACGCAGAACTTCTTCAGAGCGACGTCACGAGTGCGTTGACGTAGAATATCTTGTCTATGTTAAGGACTTATTGCGATCAAAAATTTTAAAACTAACAAAATTATAATAATATGAATAAAAACAAAAATTCCACCTATGTAATAAGGCTCTATTAATAAAGCAATGAAAATAATTATTAGGCGCAGTAATTAAAATGTAGTAGACACCAATCATAAAAAGGATACTGAGTACAGCGTCGCCATCAGATGTCTGAGCTGCGTGAATAATTGGTAATGTGAACTTCCCCTCAGTCAAATCTTCACAGTATATGTCTAAGTTCGTCGCATTCTGAAAAAGACAGGGAAATAAGAGTTCCATCCTATTTGTAAACAGTGAAGGGAAAATGCCGTTGTCTTTCTTGGGTTTTTCAGTTGGGTAATTCTGTAATTAAAACTCGGTTCGGTTGACCTAGCTAGGTGTATCAATGACAGCTGTCTTTAGCCATCGATATAACTACTTGCTAGGGGAAGTAAATTTGGTTTTTTATAGTATGCGCCGGTAAGAGTTTGAAATAATCAAATTAAGAATCAGAATCCACTTTGTTATAAAATATACGTTCTTGATAAGTTTGTTATGTGTTTTTATCCGATTCTATGCCAACGAAATATATGCAGCAACTAGAATTAAAATAATTAATTTTTACCTTTTTCCCCTCCTCTGATGGCCATTCTTCTAAAGCCTGCAAGAAATAATATATAATAAAAATTAACTTCAAAAACTTCGTTATAAAAATAAAATTTTAAAACGTATGAAGATTCAATGGTTAGACATTTACGCTACAAGCTATACTTTTAGATTAGAAAATCAATTTTTTTTTACAACTTATGTTCAACGCTTTCTTTTGTTAAAAGATTACCTCCTGCTGTATGAGATTGCAGTAATCATCTCTTAGCTGGAAGTATAAACCGATGGTAAGAACAAGATCTGTGTAGTCGTTCTTACTGTCGCTCAAGAGCTGCATCAGACGTACGGATATCAGGAACATGTGTCCTGTTTCTGAAAAAAATATAAAACCAATTTTCATAAAGCGTAGCTGAGTTTCTTACTCCTAGCACCAACAGCTTTACGATAAGTTTAAAATTATTCTTTATATGGTAGTTTGAGGTTCTTAATATACAAATATATTTATTAAGATTATCTATCTATGTGTTTCGTAATTAAAATAGATAGTCTTCGTATATCTATAGCCTATAGTCAAAATATACTTGGACTTACTTTGCTTATTCATCTCATCGTATTTTTCTTCAGTGGGGCAAAGAAAGTGCTCCCTCCAGTACAACTCTATGCCTTGACCACGCACTATTTCTAAGAAGTTTTCCGAAACAAGCTTTGGAGCCTAAAAAGTTTTAAACCATTAGAAATATAATCTTTATAAACGTTTTCCGATCAGATCATTTATGTATTACATATCTCCATCAGCCTTAGTGATTAGCCAGCCCCTGACAGCAGGTCTTGGATCCAATTTTTTATAGTATGAAAGTGTCTACACAGTTCTGAACTCTCTGAGTACATGGCAAATTTCGATAGAGATAAACCGCTATGGCCAAGTCGGTGGAGAACGTTTATTATAATTACTTACCATAGGATGTAGAACGAGAAGCTTTTGTAGCATGATAGTTAGGACTTGGAGTGAAGTATTGACAGTGAAAGGAATTCCATACACGCAGTGCGCTGAAGGTATACCCCTTCTAACCAACGTGTTATCCTGAATATCATCAATCCTGAAATATAATTTAGATATTAAATCACTTAAAAAAAATTACGTTCAAGAAATTCACATGATATAATCGCATATTTATACATACCTTTCGTACTAATTCAAATTCAAATTCAAATTCAAAAGCCTTTTATTGCCAACCTTAAATAACATTACTTTAGCTGTGTTAGTATTTAGTTTTCTTAATTTATTGTTAGTATTATATTTAATAGTATATTAAATAACTAATTGTTTATTTAGTTGGGTACCCGGTTATGGGTAAAGGCCTCCTCCATATTTTGCCATCTGTGTCGGTTCTGAGCGTCCCTTGTCCAGGTGTTGCCGGCCATGTCATGTATCTCATCTCTCCATCTCATAACGGGATGACCTTTGTTCCTTCGGCCGTCTCTGGGATACCAATGAAGTACGCGTTCGCTCCATCTTCCGTCATTTACTCTTGTTATGTGTCCTGCCCATTTCCATTTGAGTTTGCAGTACATTTCGGCAGCATCTATTAAGTTGGTTTGTTTCCGGATCTCTATATTTTTTACTCTATCACTTAGTCTTACACCCAGCATCGATCTCTCTGTTGCTCTTTGGAATACTGACAGTTTTTTTATTTGTTTTTTTGTTAGAGACCATGTCTGGCAGCCGTATAATAGGCATGGTAGAATCGTGCTGTCATACAGTTTTTTCTTTAAGTGAATTGGTATTTTTTTGTTTTTGAATATATCTTTGTTTGCCCAGAATTTTTTCCATGAGATGGCGATTCGTCGACTTAGCTCTTTTTCTGTGAGATCGTCCAGGGAAATGAGTTGGCCTAAATAAATGTATTCATTTACATACTCTATTACACATGACTCTATTGTTGTAATTATGCGGTCGTCATTGGTCATAATTTTGGTTTATGTCATGTTCATTTGTAAGTCTATATTTTTACTTACAGTGTTTAGTGTTGAAAGCATGATTTGTAGGTTTTCATGAGTATTTGACAGTATTACTATGTCATCGGCAAAGCGTAGATGTGACAGGAATTCTCCATTTATGTTAAGTCCACAATTTTCGTACTAAATTTGATATTTATTCGACATTTTTAGATAAAGTGTTTGTTCAGAAATTTGGCATTGATATGTTTTGAGTTTAAAAAGGGTTTAATAAAATTGATACTCATTTAGCTGTCAAACTAATGCTACTATTATCTAATTAAAGTGTAAGAAAATGAAGATTTATCATACAAAATTTTACTTACAAAAGAGTGCCATTATAAATCAAATCGACGGCTTCCATTATTTTGTCGATTTTTTCTTGTGGTAGCTTAAACCAAGTGTTGAATGCGATCGGTATCTTGTTTCTCAAACGTTTACCGGCGACTTTCAATATGTGGGTATACGGCGCCAGTAATTCCTTAATTTTATAAATCAAAAAGGTTTACATAAATGCAATGAAAAAGCAATTAGTTTTCTGATAAAAATATATTTTATCTGACCGTATTTTAATTATATACTATTATTACCAGTTTCATTTCAGTCAAACAGATATTTGTAAATTAATCTAGTATAAAAATATCGCATACAGTAAAATCACAAAATAACTATACTGCTCAAAACAATTAGCGGAACAAGATTTTTCTCCTTTCTATTGCTTAAACTAAAATTAGATTTAAATTAACTTGTACGCTATTTTTTACCTTGTTAATTTGTTAATTACTACAATTAATAAAAAAATTCAATTTGTATTTTTTTTTATTAAAAAAAATTAAAATGTGCATTGTAGACGAAAAACTAATTGGGATAAAAAAGGTCCATCAAAGAAATATTCTTATATCGTTTGAATATTCGTCTTTAGTGATTTTCAGTAACGTGTGTGGCCTCCATGAGCCCTAATCACGGCTTGACAACGACGCGGCATGCTTCGTATGATCCTCCGAATATCTTCTTGTGGAATTCGCTCCCATTCTTCAATCAACGCTTCAGTGAGCTGCTGCAGTGTTTGAGGTGCAATCGGACGCTTCCGGATGCGCCTGTCAAGCAAGTCCCAAATGTGTTCAATTGGATTTAGGTCAGGGCTCACGGAAGGCCACTCCATTACACGGATTTCCTGCTGTCGTAAGTAATCTGACGTGATGGCTGCAGTATGCGGCCTAGCATTATCTTGCATTAAAAGAAAATCTGGGCCCATACCATATGCTGCGGGCCAAACATGATCTTCGAGCACATTTTCAATGTAACTTTGAGCACACAAGCGCCCGGGAACAACGATGAGATCTGTGCGCTCGTCCAAACTAACTGCGCCCCAAACCATCACAGAATCACATCCAAATTTGTCATATTCCTGGACTGCTGCTGCACTGTATCGCTCGCCTGGGCATCCGTAAACACGGAGACGACCATCGCAACGTGTTAGACGGAATCGTGATAGGTCAGTAAAAAGCATTGGCCTCCAATGTCGAAGTTGCCAATTAGCGTGATTTTGCGCGAACTGTCGGCGAGATTGTCTATGTTGAATTGTTAGACGCACAGCCCGAACTGGTCGGCGTGATCTCAAATTGGCTTCCAACAACCTATTTCTTACCGTCTGGTCGGAAATTTCTACACCAGTAGCCGTCCTTAGTGTATTTTGTAGATCTCTTGCAGTTGTGGTGCGGTTACGTAAAGTAAATCTTGCAAACGTGTAGTTTTTCTCTTTCGACCTTGACCACGCCTTCGTGAGTATTCTCCCGTCTCACGGTATCGCTTCCAAAGTCTGTAGATAACAGAAGGGGCTACTCCTAGACAACGGCGGATCCAGGGGGGGGTCATGGGGGTCATGAGCCCCCTGAGCAGGACTTAGGTGGACCACTAATTGAACATAATGATTTTATATATAAATTTGTCACCATACAGATTATATGTAACTACATACCTTCAATATTTAATTAATTTAATATAATATAATAACTTTGTATGATGGCAAACGTTTGGGAATGAACGCATCGAAAATTTGAATTTTCCGCGCCACACGTGCGCGCGCTTATCGCTATGAAACGTCTAGCTAGACCTTACCTCAATCGGAATCGGAACGACTAAACTTCAACATATCATAACATAGTCTTATTTTAAATTGTGACATCAATATGTATACTAATATAGGAAAATTGGATACACTACCCTGTCAGCGAAGCGACAGCAGAAAGGTCTTTCTCTACGTTGCGCAGAATTAAATCGTGGCTAAGATCTTCAATGGTTGAAGATCGCCTAACCGGACTGGCACTTCTCCACGTTCATGAAAACGTACCCTTTGACGTAAATTACGTAATAACGCGTTTCGGGAAAACACGTTAAAGAAAAATTGATTTAGTTATTAAAATATATGTATTTTGTCTGTTTCTATTTTGTTTGATGGAATCCCTTGTCGTACCATCTCTTCACTTTTGCGAAGTTTAGCGTAATACCCCTCGACATACCTCTAGCTGTTATGACAAATCATTCACCACGGTTATGTAATATAAATAGGCTGCCTCATTCCGTACGTGATAGTCAGGCCGAGCTAAGCTCGCCAAAACAGCCCGAGCTGAGCTGTAAAGGCCCTAAAGGCCAACAGCGAGATTCCACTTCAAAAAAAAAACGTGTTAGTGTTTCTCTGGTTGTCTTCAAGAGAAGATGGTAATATGTACGTGTATACAGGTTGGTCCAACTAGTGACGTCAATATTTTTTTTTTAGATTCCTCACACCTGGGGGATACGAAAATACCCCATGCGCGTTGTATGGGGCGCATGTTCCGCGATTTTTTGTAGTTTCGAGTTATACATTTTTTTGTGTTTTTTGAATGTATTCTGCCAGCGAGGTTTCAAAAATTCATATCTTTTTTGTTGTAGGTATTTTGCAGTTTTTTTTCTGTTAAATGATTGCCTTAAATGATTTTCAAGTAAAAAAATCCCAGCTTCTTAAAATTAGTTTAACACGTTCACTGCGCCATCATTTTTAAAGAACTTTCAGCTGGTGCGTTGGAGACCTAAAAGATCTCGTAACAAGCCTATCCTCTGGTGCGTTTGAGACCTAATCAGTCTCCTAAAAATACACTTTTGAAAATAATTTATATCTTCCAAAAAACAATGACATATATTTTGAATTTTTTGTGGGTGAAAGATAGTTAATTGCTTTATATTTTGCTAGGTTCGCACGCAGTTACGACATTTGAATAAACTACAAATACCAAAAAAAAATTAGATATCGATTGTATCTCGTACCGCACCCAAAGATAGGTCAATATGTGTAGTAAGTAGTGATGGGAATAAAATAATATCTCAGTTATCGATTCTAAAAGTTTTATTAATTATGCAAAGTGTTTTTCATTAAAACATGGTAAGCACATTGATTGCTTGCACATTACGCGCAAATGGTAACAATTCGTTTAGTTTTTTTAGAAGCGTCAGTGCTGTTTAACTGCGTGTGCTCCAACGAAAAAGGTTTATCGTTAAATATTTCATAGTCAGAATCACTGTCATTATTAGTCAATGCAAATTTGAACATTTTCCAAAACAAATATTTTACTGGACGATGCAGCAGTATAATCCGGCGTTGATTTTTTGTTAGAAACCTCACCAATAAAATAGATTTTTACACTTTTTTCTTTTAAACTTAATCACTCATTGTTTATCAAAAATAATCAACACGCTGGTATATACGAGAGTGTTATTTCCAAAACGTGCCCGGAACTATCCGAATGTCGATTCTAGGACAACACTAAAAATCCCATCCTCCATCTCTTGCGTCTACGAGGCGTACGATTTCACGAGTACCGACATATCTCCTAACGCAAGGAATTAAAACAATTACAGTACTGTGCGTTAGGGACCTAATCCATCTCTAATTAATTTTTTAAAGTCCTTGAATTCAGCTTTAAGTAGGAAGCAAATATGTATATTTGTCCTGCTCATCCTTAAAGAACTTTATAAGTTACATCCTCCCGCAAGGAGTGAAAAAACACGATTATGTTCAACGCACAATACAAAAGTCCTGCAAGAGATCTGATAGATCTCGTAATGCAACGAACGTGTTAAGCTACTCTAAAAAGGTTTTAAAGTTAGAAGTTTAGTTTTTAGCTGGATTTGCCCAAACATTCGACTTCAATTTAAAAATACAAAAAGAAGTTTTTATAGCTTCTGGCTAAGTTTAAAAACTCCTCAGGGTTCTAAGCTACCAAAATCATAGAAAAAAAATGGTACTTAATTGGTCTTTTTTTGTTGTAATCGGTGGATTTTTTTTTGTGGATAGGCTAAAAATCATTGAAGCATTAAAAATGTTCTTTTTTTCGACTTTTATTATTCTTATGGTAAATTAAACTTAATAATGTGGTTTTTTAATTAATTTTAATACCCGTAAAATAAATGTAGCTGTAATCGGCCTTTTAATGTGGATAGGGAAAAAATCATTGAAGCATTAAAACTGTTTTTTTTTTTAACTTTTATTTTTCTTATGGCAAATGAAACTTTACGATCTATTTTTTACTAATTTTAATACCCGTAAAAAAAGTAGCTCGTGTAATCCTTACAATAATTTTGGTCTTACCACTCAAAATTCAAAATGTTATTCGAAATGAGTATTGCGTTGTGAAATTACCTGTTTTTTTTAATAACAAATAAAAAACACAATTTACTGAAAAAATACTATTTCTAATATATAAAATTCTCGTCTCGCGGTGTTTCGACACTCGAACTTCGTTCGAACTTCTCCGAAACGGCTTGACCGATTCTCATGAAATTTTGTATGCATATTGGGTATGTCTGAAAATCGGACAACATCTATTTTTCATCCCCCTTAATGTTAAGGGTAGTCCACCTCTAAATTATTACTTTTTAATTTTTAGATAAAGATTTTTTTTATTTTTTCATGATACAGCATTAAAAAATACATACAACCCCCAATTTTCACCCCTCTACGATCAACCCCTATTTTTTATTATAAATGATATACATGGAAAAACGACGTTTGCCGGATCAGCTAGTATTGTAATAAATTTTCAAAACTCCTTCCTCCAACTTGAATACATAACGATAACGTTTGGGGATTTTTCAAGGAGCTGGTTTACCCGAAGGAAAGCTACTTGTTTTAATGGGTATTAAAATCACATTATAAAGTTTAATTTACCATAAGAATAATAAAAGACGAAAAAAAACATTATTAATGCTTCAATGATTTTTAGCCTATCCACCTTAAAGGCCGATTACAACAATAAAATACCAATTAAGTGCCATTTTTTTTCTATGATTTTGGTAGCTTAGAACCCTGCGGAGTTTTTAAACTTAGCCAGAACCTATGGAAACTTCTTTTTGTATTTTTAAATTGAAGTCGAATGTTTGGACAAATCCAGCTAAAAACTAAACTTCTAACTTTAAAAACTTTTTTGAGTAGCTTTAACTAATTATAGGAAGCTGAGATTTTTTTTTATTTGAACAACATTTAAGACAATCATTTCACAGAAAAAAAACTGCAAAATACCTACAACAAAAAAAGATAGGAATTTTTGAAACCTCGCTGGCAGAAAACATTCAAAAAACACAAAAAAAATTATAACTCGAAAACTACAAAAAATCACGAAACATACATGGGGTATTTTCGTATCCCCCAGGTGTGAGGAATCTAAAAAAAAATTATTGACGTCACTAGTTGGACCAACCTGTAAGTACACAATATTATGTGTTAAGTTTTTCAAGTGTACAATAAAGAATAAATATTTTTAATTGCAATACTTACGTACGTTAATAAAATACCTACTTTTTACTTGTATCTATTGTTATCAAAATTAAATTATAAGTTCTTGACTTGACCACGACTATGTGACCCCCTCCTGGCGCCAAAGCTGGATCCGCCCTTGCTCCTAGATAATTTCCTACATAACGCATAGTTCGACCCTCTTCAAGCAAAGCGATAGCTCGGGAGACATGCAATTCAGTCAGATCTGGCATTATGACCTAAACTCACTCGCTTCAATGAATAACAATACTCAAAAGGCTCACTTCAATTTCTATTAATACTCAAAAGATTGAAAAAAACTACTTAAAATGTGTTTTCTGTGATTAGAAAGTAATGAAAATTCAAAGACGTCACTTTGTTTTTCGTCTACAATGCACATTTTAATTTTTTTTTAATAAAAAAAATACAAATTGAATTTTTTTATTAATTGTAGTAATTAACAAATTAACAAGGTAAAACATAGCGTACAAGTTAATTTAAATATAATTTTAGTTTAAGCAATAGAAAGGAGAAAAATCTTGTTCCGCTAATTGTTTTGAGCAGTATATAAATAATTGTAATAGCACTTTTTGAATCAATAGTATAATCATACTATTGCGTGTAAAAATAAAAAATATATATGTTTATTATGGAATAGAAGATGCAGGTATCACTTATTCCACGTCATTAAATGTGAATCGGTAGACATTCCTATTCATCGGCAAAGAAGACAGAGGGTGTAGGCCGAGAGAAAAAGCCGGCGTAAATAACTCTCGGTACGCTTTTAAATTACAAATCATCATACAAAATGACTATGGCAAACAACGCTTATTTTAAAACAATCGCAGATGAATATAAACAGCCTGTCTAGCACTAGTCACATACCCTTTTATCAACTAGATAATAATCGATATATATAATACTATAAGGAATAAATTTAACCATTATAAATAAAATACCTTCTCCATGTAAGATTCACGATAGATGCTCGATTCCTTGGATTTTTCCATTTTTGTTGGCACGCGACGGAAACAAAGTGATTCTTGTTTGACACTGAACTCGACAAAATAAGGACTGCGGGTAATTGGAGGAATCGTTTACCTTATATGCTCTGATTGTAAGCTAATATTGAGTAATGAATAATCAATAATGATAATCAATGTCATTAACTATGCCAAAATATTTTTCGCGAATACTAATGTATTGTTAAACAAGGGTATGAATAATTAAGTAATGTGTTTTATTTTAATTAATGTGGTATTTGGTTTCCGCTTTAAAAACCATTAATGAGCATTTTTACCGAGGTGAAGCGTTTCTTAACCATGCGAACTCACGAGTTCTAATTCTGGCTGCCTTCTATAGGATATTTCTTCGTTGAAGGAATTCTAAACGATGACTTAGTAAGATTCAGTCGAGAAATAACGATAAGTACGACACTAGTATGTTTTTAATATGCGGTCACAATCTAAGTATTAGGGCTAAGAATGACGCCCGTATTTTAAAAACCCATTTGATTTTATTACTTGAGTTTACTTTATGTCCTATAACCCCTAAATGGGGCAAGGGAATCCACAGTGAGTCTCCATCGACTATTCCATGTCTAAGGGCTGTACTCGTGGACTGTAAAATGTGTGGTTAAATTTATATGTATAAAATGTCAGGAGTATCTATATACTATATGTAGTGTATGTATTAGCAAGCTGCACTCGATAACTAAAAATTTAAAAGGGTGCGATGATGACTTAATTACCCTACGGATCCCTAAGCCTACAGATGTACCACTACACATAAAAAGTGAATATATAAATAGGTATGTGATGTCTTCAGCAAGAGACCTAAGGTTCTCTAACAGATAGATCTCTACGGGTAGGATCAAAGGTTCAAGGTGATGGGATTATCGCAAAGCTATCGGGCAGGCTCACAACGATAATTAAGGGCTTGTAGGATCCTTCGCCACTTTGAGAGGAAGCGAGAAATGAATAAGATAGAGATTCAAATCTGATTTATTGTAATAAAATAACATCCTCAAAACTACTTACACCTCTTCACACATACATCATATTATTATTCTTGCGAGCCGTTGGTTTATCGCGCATTAGCTGTTAATATTTACAACAAACTCGAGAGCCGTGTCTGCTGTTGGTCAATGTTTACATAAGATATATTTAAATTACTCTTGTCGGTGTATCGGATTTTGTTATTAAAGTTTTTGGCCAATGTTCAAATGAAATCTGAACATACTGGTGCCTCACAAAGTCTGCGGCTGGTACAGCTGAATCTTCACTCGCATTCGATGATTTTAAACCGTAGACCCGTCTGTTGTGTTGGCGTCTTCAACCGTCGCTTCGTTGCTGTCCGTCCGTTCCGTTATAATAAAAATCATTACTAACGTTAATTAATGTTAAAAGAATTTCAGTGAGATTCTGACTGTTAACATTTTATATAATCAATCTGGGTTACTTTGAAATGGTCACATTTTAGATGTCTTACTATCTTACTATTAATGTTAATTAATTTATAGGTACGTAATTATAGAATCTTGAATATAGTAAAATTCAAATTTTTTTTTTTAAATAGTTCGTACTTCGTGTATTTCCAAATGTGCTGAACAAGGCATTTATTATTTATAACTGCATGGTTTTCCCCTAGCGACATAAAACATTTTTTTTAAATTTATTTAACGCATTAATGTTAACTATTAAATTATAGCTTCTTCATATAACGTTTGCTACGTTTGTTTAATTAATTCGAAGCCTCTGCTATGTGTATATAAGTAATAAGTAATGTATACATGTGCCTATAAGTTTTGCGTAAACATAATTGTGAATAGGTGACATAAAAACTAATAATATGTTTGTATAAGGCTATGTAACAGGTATATATTATTTGTTTTATGTTATTTCCTTGTCGTTAATACGTCTTAAAGGATAACTATAGTATGTTATTTGGTATTGAGATTCTTCTTCTTTTTGTACTTTAATTGAATTTTCTTGTTAATATGGGACGATCCTGCATTTATCAAGCAATGCATTCCCCATGACTGTATATGAATGGTGACAATATTGTGCATGCCCCATCCGAATGCTGTATTATTATATATATACATATTATCTGTATGTCTTTTATTTTTCGTTTATCCATTTCGAAAACTGAACAGGGGTCTAATACAAATAAAACCAGTTATTTATTTATTTACACTTGCATACAGAAATAATTAAATAAAAAGGCAACCGGCGACCTTTATCGCTTTCGAGGGATCTTTTCCCGCTCCCGCTATAGTCAGTTTTGTTGGTGCTGAAGAGATCCATCAGACGAACACAGATCAGGTACATGTGGCCAGTTTCTAAAAAAAAAATATTATCTACCTGGCTGGTAAAAATCATGCATTGTATAAAATAGTATCGTATAGATGTATAAATTAGATTGAAAGATTTGTTCGAATTACGTATAAAATCAGTGTTGCTTCTTTCATTTATAATTTTTCAATTCCAACAGAGAAACAATTTCGAGATTGCGTAACAAGCAAAAAAATATGATGTAATTGAAAATAAGTAAAATAAATGTTATCGGCTATTTAATATGTTTCATAAATGCAGTGTAAACTCCATGTAACGTCCCACGATATAACAACAAACCTTATAAAACGTCGAAATCACTTGGGCTTTGCTTGGATTAGCTTGTCTTCCATACAACGATACACTCTACATAATAAATAATTTTTTTTTTATTTAATTACCAACACTGAAATAAACTTTCACTTTTTCTAATAGAGATTTTTCTTATTTCCATTTAATGACAAGTCATTGTAACGACAAAATATGCATAGTCCCTTGCGTGTCGTTATATATGAAGTTTACACTGAAAAAATAGTTCAGACGAGGCGAGAATCATTGTGTAATTATGTGTATTGTCTTTTTTAATTTTTGCAATACAATGTATTAGCGATCAATAATTCAGTTTTTATTGTCAATGATAAAACAATGAGCCCGAATCACTTCTAGTATACCTTCGCAAAATACCTTTGGTGCCTGGAAATAAATAATAGGAATTCACGTTGTGAAATAAACCTTGACAAAATTGATTGTTTTGGTCGAGATACGATACACGGATTCTACACTACTTACCAATATGTAATAGTCTGAAGTTCCGTAACCGCGTTTTAGTGTATGCGCCAAACACATTTAAAGTCAGTTTAATTGGTCGTTTTAAAAAGCTATAAATACTAATTATTGTTTAGCCAGAAAACAAAAAAATAAAAAATAAAATATGTTTATTATGGAACATAAGATACATGTATCACTTATTCCACGTCATTAGTCAGGCATCCCTACTCATCGGCAAAGAAGACAGAGGGTGTAGGCCGAGAGAAAAAGCCGGCGTAAAAAACTCTCGGTACTCTTTTAAAACAGCAAATCATCAAACAACACTTATTTAAAACAAATATCGCAAATTGATTAGAAGTAGCCTGTCTAGCACTAGTCCCAGGCCCTTTTATCAACTAGATAATCGTTGACTTTATAGTAAGCCTTTTTACACAGCTTTTCTTTAATACATTTCTTAAATTTATTGAAAGGCAGTGATAAAAGAGCCTCTGGGATTTTATTAAAGAAGAGTATCCCTTTCCCCAAAAAAGAATTACTAACTTTAGATAGTCTAGTACGGGGAAATTGCAGCCTGCGTTTGTTCCGTGTATTAACATTGTGCGTATGTTCTATTCTAGTAAACTTATCACTATTTTTGTATACATACATAATATTTTCATAAATATATTGCGAGGGAAAGGTAAGTATATTAATTTCCTTGAATTTATCTCTAAGAGATTCCCTACATTTTAAATTATAGATTGCACGAATAGCCCTCTTCTGCAGGATGAAAATAGTTTCGACATCAGCAGCATGACCCCCATAATAATAAGCCATAAGTCATTAAGCTATGAAAGTAACTAAAATAAACAAGTCTAGCTGTATCGACATCAGTTAGTGAGCGATTTTTTTTTCACCGCGTAGGCTGCAGAACTAAGTCTCTTCGCCAATCCGTTAATATGAGGGGACCACTGAAGTTTTGAATCCATGGTGATTCCGAGAAATACAGTTGTATCATCCAGATTCAATTCCTCACCGTTTATAATTGGTCTAGTATCCATAACCCTTGCATTTTTTGCACAAAATTTAATGCATTTTGTCTTTTTTGCATTAAGTAGAAGGTTATTCATACTAAACCAATGGACAATCGAAGACAGAGCATTGTTCACATCGTCAAAATTTGTTATTTGTCGTTTGATTTTAAAAATCAAGGACGTGTCATCAGCAAACAAAACTATCTGATGTTTTCTCTCTACCATGAAAGGTAGATCATTTATATAAACAAGAAAGAGGAAAGGGCCAAGAATTGAGCCCTGTGGTACCCCCAAATCTACTGCCGACCCAGAGGACCTCTTACCATTCACTTCAACCTTCTGAGTTCTTCCGTGTAAATAGGAAGTCAGAAGATTCAGTGCGGTATTCTTGATGCCATAGTGGCGGAGTTTCCCGATTAAGGTCTCGTGTTGGACACAATCAAATGCTTTGGATAAGTCGCAGAAAACACCTAAAGCGTCATGCGACTCCTCCCAAGCCTTAACTATATATCTATATAACTCAACACCGGCATCGGCTGTCGAGCGACCCTTGGTAAAACCGAACTGATTATTATGTAATAATTTGTTTACGTTAAAATGACTTACCAGTTGATTTAATATAATTTTTTCAAATATTTTACTACAAGTAGGTAGTACGGAAATTGGTCTAAAGTTACTGGGGTCGGACATACTACCTGCTTTAAATAAAGGAATAACTTTACTATGTTTCATTAGATCGGGAAACTCGCCACTTTTAATACAATTGTTGAAAATTATAGCTAGATGGGGAGCAATTACATCAATTATGCTACTAATTATTTTTACAGAAATACCCCAAAGATCGGTAGTGTTCTTAATATCTATGGTTCTAAATATCCTCACTATATCGTCGGC